CTTCTTTGGAATTTCTTTGTCCTGTCCTGTTTGAGATTTATGATGCTAACTGTCCCATTTGGGGTTTTATGGTCTGGGTAGCATCCTGATGCAGGTGGTCCTGAACTTTCAGATAAGGCCAGGTTTGAAGTTTTCCTGAGAACCAGGAGGAGGGAGGGTGGGCAGATTCCCATTATTATGTTTCTCCCAAACTACCCTGAAGTGCTATGGGGAAAAGACTTCTTTTGAAATTTAGCAGGATGTTAAGTTCTTCTCATATATCTGAGATGCAGAAATACTTCCTCAAGAATGCCTCTCCTTGGTCAGTCTCTTGTTCACTAGAAAGGTTGCATTGAATTCTTACCTGTATCTTGCAAAAAGATTCCTGTAGCCCAAACGGCTTGAAATTTCAGACATCAAAAAGACCAGGGTCTGGGCTGGGAAGGTGGCTCAGTGGTAGAGCGCTTGCCTTGCATGCCTGAGGCCCTGGGTTCGATTCCTCAGCACCTCATAAGGAAAAAGCCGGAAGTGGCGCTGTGGCTCAAGTGGTAGAGCACTAGCCTTGAGCTGAAGAGCTGAGGGACAGCTCCTGTTAAGTACTCGGGAGACTGATTTCTGAGGATTGTTCAAAGCCAGCCCAGGTAGGAAAGTCTGAGACTCATCTCCAGTGAACCACCAGGAAACCGGAAGTGGTGCTGTGGCTCAAAGTGATTGAGTGCTAGCCTTGAGCAAAAAGCTCAGGCTCAGCTCCCAAGCCCTCACCTGCAGTCCTGGAGCGCCGTGGCCAGTGAAGAGGGTGTAGGTGTAAATCATGCGGGGTGTGCAATCTGAGCGGCTGGGTGGCCCTGGGCTCCTGAGAGCTTTACCGCCGCTTCCTGGCTGTGAAGGCTTTCTTTCTGTCTTGTGTGCTGCTGGCCTCCGGTGGTCAGCGATTACACGGAGGCTGGGGGAAACGGCGTGGCAAGATGAGCTTTCACCTCAAGAATGGGAAGCGAGGTGGCCACGTGGAGCAGGGTAACTGGACGCAAAGGAAACCCTGGTGTGCCAGGCCCTGGTCCGGGCCTGGCTCGCACGGCGGGACGCGGTCCGCGCTCGCGGAGGAGGCTGCGGAGGCAGAAACCTGGGCGGGGGCCGCGGGCGCCGAGCCCAGGCCGGGCCCAACTCGAGGCGGAGGAGGAGCGCCACGGCCCGGGAGGTCGTCCGCTAGCTCCGCCTCCGGGTGCGGCCCGGAGGCCCGAGGCACATTCGGGGACAGCGCGAGCGCCGGCCTCCACGGGTCTGCGCTGCGGACCCCCCGGCAGCCGCACCGGGCCGGGCCTCGCGGCCGAAAGCTCCCCCCGCCACGGCCTCGCTCCTCCTCAAACCCTGGCGGAAAAGCGCAGCCTCCCGCCCGCACCCACGTGGGCGGGGCCGAAGCCCTGGGCGGAGCCTCGCGACACCCAAACAAGCCCACGTGGAGGGGCGGGGCCTGTGCGGTGACGTCCGTGCGCGGGGGCGGGCGCGCGTCCGCCGTACCCTTGCCGGGGGCCGTAAAGCGCGGAAGGTCGCGGTCCCCCGCGCTCCCGGAACTTTGGGCTCCAGGGTGGCGCCCTCCAGCCCGCGCCCTGTCGTCCCGCTTCCGGCCCGCGGCGATCCCCGGCGACCGTTGTGCGGAGCCTCGCATCTGCCGGGCGTTGCGGAGCGCGGAGCCCGCGGCCCCATGAGGTAAGGAGAGCGCCGAGGGGCTCCGTCGGCCTCCGCGTCCGCGCGGGCCTGGCTCCCCGGGACCCGCGGCGTCGCCCCCGCCCTTTGCTCGCTGGTCCCCGCGCACGGGGGTCCGCGCCGCCTCCGGCTGCCGTTCGGTTGCGCCGGCCGGGCGTCGGCCCCGGTGGCGGCGCGCGGGCCCTTGCTGGCGCCCGCGGTCCGGTCCCGCGGGGCGGGGCGGCCGCAGGCCGCGCTGCCTCTCCCCTGGGCTCGCGCCCTCCGGGCCGCGCAGCCGCTGCGGCGCTCGCGGCCGCCCTCGGCCTCTGCAGGTGGAGGTGTTTTCCCGTCGTGAAAGGGGCGGCACCTGTGCGGTGCGGTGCGGGCTCCGCAGGCGCCGCCGAGGCGGGGAAGCAGCTGCGTGGCGAGCCCAGGCCGGGGCGGGGGCCTCCTCTGGCCGCGAGCCTGGAAGGGTCGTTGCGAGGGGCCCGTGCCGGTCAGCACTGTCCACGCCCGCTTCGCGCGTGCACGGAGGCACGGGGGTGGGAGGCAAGGGGCCTCCCGCCTTTCCGTGCTAGGTGGTGTTTCAGTGTCTGACACTGTCTGGATTTCCTTGTGTTGAAAAAATACGACACCCTGGGCTAGACTAGCAGGACAGCAGTGCAGAGGGGGACCCTGGAATCTGCTCCTGCTGGGTGTGGGGCGGGGGGTGAGGCAAGTCTGTCTCCTGGGACCAGCCTTCCTTGAGCCCACCCCTGGCCAGCGCTGTAGACAGAAGGAAAAGTGGGCAAGGGACAGCTGTCCCCTGCTGGGGTTAGGATAAGATCTGATTGGGCTGAGAGGCTGTGGCTCACACTTGTAATCTTAGCTACTTAGAAGGCCGAGGTCTAGAGAATCGAGGTTTGAGGCCAGCCCGGGCAGAAAATGCCTCCAGAGTCCATTGACTGGTTATGTACCTTAATGTGATATGTATCGTATACGTGTATCAAATTTACTGCACCCGTAAATATTATATGTCAAAAATAAGAGCACTGTAAATAAGTGCATTCTGGAAAAAATACCTAAGAGCTACTAAAAAAGAATTTCTGCATCAGGGAGCTTCCTAGTAAATCAAGGTAGGGTACAGTGTTTTTGAGCTTATCAGAATTTTAACTGAGGACCTCAGTTAACATCTCCAGAGGCTCAGATAACAGGGGGGGAAAAAAAAAGATTTCATGTACTGGACAGGAGCACCAGCCTGGGCAAGTGAGCCAAAGGAGTGCTAGCCCTGAGTTCAACTTCTGGTACCTACCGCCCCAAACCAGCTTAACAAAAAAGTGGTGAGCACAATGAGCCTGGGTCTTAAGATTGCTCAGTAGGCCGGGCGCTGGTGGCTCACAGCTGTAATCCTAGCTATTCAGGAGGCTGAGATCTGAGGATCTGGGTTCAAAGCCAGTCTAGGCAGGAAAGTGTGAGACTCATCTCCAATAAAGCACTCAGAAAACCGGAAGTGGTGCTGTGGCTCAAGAGGTAGAGTGCTTGCCTTGAGCTGAAGAGATGAGGGACAGTGCCCAAGCCCAGAGTTCAAGCCCCACCACGACCAACAACAACAAAAAGATTGCTCAGCAGAAGGTATTTTCTTTTTTTTGGGGGGGGGGTCCAGTTGTGGGGCCTGAACTCTGGGCCTGGGAGCTGTCCCTCAGCTCTTCAGCTCAAGGCTAGCGCTCTACCACTTGAGCCACAGTGCCACTTCCGGCTTTCTTCTTTTTGCTTATGTGGTGCTGAGGAATCGAACCCAGGGCGCAGGCATGCAAGGCAAGTGCTCTACTACTGAAGCCACCTTCCCAGCCCCTCATCTTGTATATGTATTTTTTGACCAGGTAAAGTGATAAATGGCAGGGTTTGAGTCTTGGCTGGCTCTGTTCTGTAGAAAGCAATAATCTCCTGTAATAACTTGAATCAGAGTTCCTTCTAGGCATGGAAGTGTGAGGGTGTACATTAGAGCTGCAGTCGCCAAAATGGTGTGCAGAATATCTGATGGGTTTGCTTTGGGTTCGTTTTTATTAATTTGGTCGAACTTAGATGGGGAAAAGGGAAATGTTGGGAATTTGTTGTGTTGTTATTCAAAAAGTTGTTTGAGACATCACTGTCTTCAGGTACTAGGGGTTTGAATCCAGGTCTTAATCACCAAACACCTCCATGTAGTATGGGTAGCAGTGGGTTTACCTAGTCTTAAACACCTGTTGTTCAGTTAATCCCAACTTGTTTTCCCAAGTAGTAAGGGAGGATCGACCTCAAGCACTGCATTAGGCGAGGGACTGAAGTCAGCCACGGCCACCCCTTCCACAGGTTGAATAACCGGAATTCCCACATTTGGCTGCATCCTGTCTTAGGGGCGCCTTGTTGAGCTTATGAAATGTTTCTAGGAACCGTAAGAGACAGTAGAACATGTGGGGGCTCAGGGTCTTCAATCGCCTCTTTCCTAGAGAGCCCAGGTGTCAGACACATGGTGTTTCAATGGGAACAGCCCACGGCTGGAGGGTATGTGTATAAGGACATGTCCAAATACAACCCTTTATAAAATTGATGCCAACAACAAAAAATGTGGGGTAGAATAGTTGGGTGAGCAGGGCGCTGGTGGCTCACAACTGTAATCCTAGCTACTCAGGAGATTGAGATCTGAGGATCATGGTTTGAAGACAGCCAGGGCAGGAAAGCCCATGAGACTTTATTTCCAATTGAGCCACAGCGCCACTTCCGGTTTTCTGTTACTTAACTGGTAGAGCGCTAGCCTTGAGCTGAAGAGCTGAGGGACAGTCTCCAAGCCCAGAGTTCAAGCCCCACAACCAACAAAAAGTCAGGTGAGCTGGGTGTTACACGGTGGCTCATGCTTAAGAGGCTGAGATCTGAGGATCATAGTTTGAAGCCAGCCCAAGCAGGAAAGGCTGAGAGACTCTTTAATCACAGAAAAAGTCAGAAATGGAGCTGTGACTCAAGTGGAGCAGTACATTTGAGCAAAAGGAGCTCAGATACAGCACCTGAAAAGACAACAGAATGAAGCCCAGTGACTAAATCTCTACCCAAGAGCTCAGTATAGTGAAAGAGCAATGGTTCTCCTTTGTTCAGCTTCCGTGTGAATGTGGCATCGCACAGACATGGTTGTGGGTTGTGTCAGAGCTTACTGTGAGTCAGAGGCTGGTGTCTAGTGGCTGCAGCAGGAGAAAGGGAGGCACTCACTCTCCAGCCAGACCAACATTTTGGAATCAGGTGTAAATGGCTACCTGTCCAGTGTTTGCTTACCCTCTGTGACAGCAAACAGATCACTGCAGATGAAGGCAGGACATGTCACAAGCATGTGCGGCAAAAGAAAATGTCTTTTTATTTACACACAATACATGAAGAAAATCCCAAATAAGACCCAGCTGGCCAGAAATACAGTGCACATTCCACATCCAGAGGGCAGAAATGCTCAGTCACTCTGTGTACTCTAAAGCACCCAGGCTCTAGAGAAGGGGTCCTACTTACTAAGAATGCCCTCAGTGCCACATACTAGCTGCAAAGAACACACGGGAGCTGGGAGAAACTATATACACTTCAAATACAAATAACCAGTTACAGGACTTTATAATAATTACAGTGGCATTTTTGTACATCCCATGAGTTGAGCAGAGAGAGTGTAAAGTGTGAGCTGGAAAACCCTTCAGTGAAATGAAGGAGCTGCAGATCTTTCTGTCCTGCACCCCTTCTTTGCTGAGGAAGAAGAGGTTCTGGAAGGTGATGGGAACCCACAGGCTGATAGAATAAGAAAAGTTCCCATCTCCATCCACTTGACATTCTGGAGTGTAAGGCACTAGAACTGGGCTTGGAGAGGTTCTCCGGTTCCTGATATGCAAAGGAAAACTTGGTGAATATGCTAAAAATACCCTCCCCTCTTGTAGTTTCTGCCCTTCATGACCAGAAAACAAGGCAGAGATGTTTGCAAAGGATTAAAAATGGGTGCATCAAAATATGAGGAAATGGCTAGTGAAGAAATGAGTAATTCTTTGAGATGCAGTTTGCCTTTTTAGAGGTCAAGCATCCTATCATACAGGGAGTAGTGCTTATGTATAATGGACAAAAACATACAAAAATAGTCCATTCTTATGAAAAACAGTACACTGGAAGTGATAAGGAACTGTAGCAGCAAGCCCCATACTGGCATGAATATGGGAACTTTCAACTCAGCACCTTGGAGTCCAAAAATGGTGGTGGGGGGGGGGGGGGTAGTGCTGCCATGCTGCCCAACAGAGCCATGGCTTACCACTTCTGACAGCCAGAGGCCATGGTTAGAGCTCAAACATCCTGTACCCTTTCTACTCACATGCTTCTGAATCTGTGTGCCTGAAGATGAACCTTCTTTATCTGTAAGAAAAATGTACCTGTGATGTGTTGATAAATTATATATCAACATTCCTGAGGGGTATGTTGGGAGTGTGATTCAGAAACTATAGTGGCAGAAGGATACAATTCAGTGTTAGCCACTTTTCAGTTAAGCAGAGCTCTTACATACTACAGAGGAGCCTTGTTGACTACCTGTCCAAGAAGCAACAGATGAAATGAACCTCACCCTTCCAACAAGTGATACCACTGCTGTACTCTGGGACACAGAATCACAGGGCTAGTATTAAGATTGCTAGCCTAGAACATTCTTTGCTATCTGTTACAGGTCCTCCGAGGATGAAGATGCATTCAAATGCCAACAGATGTATCCATAATCTAGAGGATAAACAGAGCTAAAAAATCTCTTCAATGAGGCAGAGCACACTTAGAAGCTCCTGACACTCATTTCCGTACTGCCACTGCTACCCACAGGATGGAAGAGGAAGGAGGCCAATGAGTGAGTACATGCCAAAGCAAGGCAGTAATACTACTATGAGCGCTGAAAATCCTTCGTTTTAGTTATGCTGTTAGAAACAGGAAATGATGCAGGAAAGCAGGTAGTGCATAACAGGTAATAGCCCAAGGTAGGGTAGCACACCTTATGATAAAAGCTCACCTGAAGTGGGTGTACCCCATTGCTGCAGAAATGGGCTCTTTGTAGTCAAAGCAAAGCTGATGTTTGAGCACTAGGCTTAACAATACGCATGTCCCATGTTTGGTGATGCAGAGGCCCCTAACAGTAATTGTCCAGTTGTCTTTTACCACTTAAGATGCTTATAACACCAAGTGGACAAAGCAGTTTTACTTCGAAAGTTTTTTTTTTTTGCCAGTCCTGGGGCTTGAACTTAGGACCTGGGCACTGTCCCTGAGCTGCTTTTGCTCAAGGCTAGCACTCTACCACGAGCCACAGCACCACTTCCAGCCTTTTCTGTTTATGTGGTACTGAGGACTCAAACCCAGGGTTTTATGCATGCTAGGCAAGCACTCTACCACTTACCACTAAGCCACATTCCCAACCCCTGGAAGTCTATTTAAAACACGCATGTCACACTAAATGTACAAAATAAAACCAGACTTATAGTAAGGTTGAATGAGCCATGAGAGTATTTAAAGGGCATTTAATAAATAAGTGATGGCCAAGAAGATTAATACCTTCCTTGCCAGAGTCCAGGGACGATGACCCTAACTTATGGAAGAGGTGTTTACAAGCCCAGTCTTAAGGGCTCACTGCACCAGAAATGCAAGCACTATTGGCTCACGGGAAGACCGACATCAGCAACGGGAGGCCAGGGCTTCTAGCACTACTTCAATAAAAAGTTACCGCATGATTCTGGACATAGCTCTCCTACTCAGAAAGTCAGCTAATTAATAAAATAGTGATTAGACATTAACAAGTGCAAAAAAATAAGAGAATCCAAATCCATATTGAACAGTATTTGGGGGTGGGTGGGATGAGGCTGGGAGGAGGGCAGGACTAGGGTTTAAACCAGAGCTTTGGGCTCACTAGACAGATACTCTACCACTTGTTACACCCTAGCCCTCCAGATTGAAGACTGTGTGGGAATGACACCCCCCAATTTTAACAGATGGCTTTTGTTCAAGCATTTTTCTAATTGAATTCCAAATATTCATTTATAGGGAGGACTGGAATGGTGCGAGCACAGTTGACAGAACACGAATGTCTTGAGCACTGGTACCTGCTTCCATCTTCACAGGTCAGTGGGCTCCTTGCTAGACTTTGGCCATGGGCTCATCCCTGCTCTCCTTTGTAGCTGCTGTTTTCCTTGTTTGGCTTCTAGGGAGATTAGCTGAAGGTGTTATCTAGGAGCAGCACCTTCAGCTAGTTTAAAAACACATTTGCTCCAAAATACAAAGGCTCCCTGAACAGAATTCTAATTACATGTTCCTTTAAGTCAACTAGAAGTCCACCCACTCAACCCTCCAAAAAATGTGGACAGTCAGTAATCAGGTGGGCGTGGTCTAGCTGGAGAAATGAGATGTAGAAGGAGCTAGTGTGAGTGGGTTACATATCCCACAGAAATATCAGAAGGCAAACACCTCAGAATCTTAAGCTACTCTAGTCTTTAATATACTTACATAACACAACTAATGCTATCAAGATACCAAGACAACAAAGGTAACAGCTGAGCTAAATTTTCCAATAGCAGCTTGGTTATACTTTCAAAAATCTGGATTAGGTGAGTTTGTACACAAGTGTTGTAGTTGGACAGCACAATCGGTGAAAAATCTAAGTTTCACCTTCAGAAAACATACTTCTTAAAAGTGTGCAGAGTACCTTTGGGGTACCCCAAGTCATTTTCCATTCCAAAGGATTTAGAAAGGTGACTAGATGGGAATCAATGGAGAAGATTCATCAGTCTAGCCTTGTCACTTAAGACTTATCTTACTCAGAATTCTCATTGGACCAGCTCTCAGTGGTCATCTCTGTATGGTTTTGTTCCTGGCCAGAAGATGATGTAAATCTCAGAATCCCACCTGACTTTCACCTCTTTCCTCTAAAGAGAGAGAAGAATGTATATTGAGCCTGTGGACTGGCTGCCACAGGGCCGAAGTGAGGCTGAAAGTCCTTTGAAGAGGGAAATCAAGATGAGATGCTAACTTTTGAGTATTTTAAAGGAACACAGCACTGTTTTAATAGTCGGAAACTTGGCATTGGTGGTGGCATACTTTCTGAGGTTAGACCATTTCTGCTGGGTAAAGCAACACAAAAGGCAACTTTTTTTCCTCAATGCTGACCTAATTGTTTCCTCATCTACAAAACATAACCTCATTACAGATATTAGCAAGACTTGAAGAAAATTATAGGCAGGTTGCCCTGGCCCAGATGTTTAAGAATGAGGACGCTGTCAGGTTAACTGCGTGCCTCTGCCACAGACACACCTCTGTGGTGCCTCTCATCAGTGAGGTAGGTGACCATCCTTTGCTAAAGGCATCAAGAGCCAGCCCTTAAGGTACAGTGGAACAGAAGGATCTGCCTAACTAAAAGGCACAAGCTGTTCCAGTGGCTTCCTTAAACACAGTGAGTAGTTCCACCACAATTAACAGGTCACTAGAAGTTTAAGGAAATGAATTTACTCTAAGGCCTGTGTAATACCAACCTGCCTTGCTTTGTAATAGTGCATTTAAAATCGGTCTTAACACAATACCACAAGCAAGTGGAGCTTGCCTCTGTCCTGTATATCAGATACACTTCTTGCCACCCTGGGAATCTGAGCAGGAAGAACCCAGATAGTATTACTAGGGACAACAGCAAGTGAAAGTAGAAGTTTAAAACCAGGCCAGGTTCACAATTACATCAAGAAGCGAAGGGAGGCAAAAGTTACTTCAGAAAGGACAGGTAAGGAGTGGGGATAAGGTAGGAAGAGAATGCCCTGTCATTATTTCCCATGCAAGTCACTCCGCTCCATGTCATCCTTTCGGCGCTTGTGGGTGAAGAGGGAGGGGACAGGGTAGAGCTTGGCCTTGGCCTGGAACCGGTTTCCTGCTATATCAATTTCATACTCTCCCCGGTTAATGAAGTCTGCTGTCACTACTTGCTCTTCCCCACTGTCTTCAGAAAAATTGTGCACAAAGCCCAGGCACACATGGCGCTCCAGGGTGTAGCTGTAGGCACTGCTGGTGGTCTTGCCAACATACTGCCCATTCCGGTAAATGGGCTCTCCCCACCATGGCCAGAGGTCCAGGTCTGTGTCATGGTCATCCAGGATGAACATAGTAAGCCGCTTATATACCCCATTCTGCTTCTGGTGCAGAAGGGCATCCCGACCAATGAAATCCATGTCCTAGGAAAGAAAGGAAACACTGAGCTACCTGTCTATACTCCCTGATGATTAGAATGTGAAGCAGCGTATTAGACATCCTGGTGGTACTATAGTGGAATGCAGCATGTTTCCGAGACAGTTTTCCCTAGGTGATGGATGAGTATACTCAGAAGACAAGATTTAAAAAGGCAGGGCTGAGAAGATGTCTCAGTGGTAGAGTGCTTGCCTTGCTTGCATGAGGCCCTGGGTTCAATTCTTCAGCACCACATAAGCAAAAAAAAAAAAAAAAAGCCGGAAGTGGCACTGTGACTCAAGTGGTAGAGCGCTAGCTAAAGAGCTGAGGGACAGCTTTCAGGCCCCATGACCTCCAAACCGCCCCCCGCCCAAAAAAAAAAAGATTTAAAAAGTTTATTTGTACTGCTTGAACTCAGGGCCTGGTGCTGTCTCAGCTTTTGTGCACAAGGCTAGTACTTACTTGTGCCCCAGTGCCATTAGTTGGAGATAAGAATCCCACGTGCCTGGGTGGCTTTGAACTGCAATTCTTAGATCTCAGCATCATCCTGGGTATCTAGGATTACAGGGATGAGCTACCAGTACTAGTCAAGAAAAATGATTAAATGTTTATAGTGCTTAACAGTATCTCTGAAGAGAGAAAGAATAGATCAATTTATGTTTTTTCCCAAAGTTAGTTACTACTGTTATCAGAAAAAAATTACATGTAATTGCTTTTAAAAAAAAAACTATAAAGTATCCTAGCTACTCAGGAGGCTGAGATCTGAGGATCACAGTTCAAAGCCAGCTTGGGCAGGAAAGTCCACGAGACTCTCATTTCCAATAAACCACCAGAAAACTGGAAGTGACACTATGGCTCAAGTGACGGAGCATTAGCCTTGAGCTGAAGAGCTGAGGGATAGCACCCAAGTGCAGAGTTCAAGCTCCACAACCAAAAAAAAAAAAAAATCAAACCCAAAACCTGTAAAGCCAGGTACTGGTGGCTCACGCCTGTAATCCTAGCAACTCTTATCTCCAATAAAGTATTCAGAAAAAGCTGGAAGTGGAGCTGTGGCTCAAGTGGTAGAGTATTAACCTTGAGAATGAGATGCTCAGGACAGAACCAGGACATGAGTTCAAGCCCCAGGACTGCAAAAAAAAAAAAAAAAAATAGTAGTGCTAGGTTCAGCAGCACATTTACTAAAATTGAAACAATTCAGAGATTAGCATGGTCCCCGATAGAGGACACACAAATCTGTGAAGTGTTCCATACTTTATAAAACAAAGCTGTAGGCAGGTTATAGTGGCTCACACCTGTAATCCTGGCTACTCAAAAAGGTAAAGATTGTGGTCCATACTTTTCTGGTTAATGTGAGACCCTATTTAAAACACTTGCACTATGCTGGATGCTGATGGCTCACACCTGTAGTCCTACCTACTCAGTAGGCTGAGATCTGAGGATCATGGTTTGAAACCAGTTCAGGCAGAAAAGCCTGTGAGACTCTTACTCCCAATTAAACATCCACAAGCCAGAAATGGAGTGTAAGTTCAAGCGAAGCACTAGCATTGAACGAAAAAGTTCAGGAACAGTACTCAGACCCCAGGTTCAAGACTGAAGAGTACTGGTACCAAAAAAAAATTTAAAAAGTGTTGCTTATGACAAAAGGGACAGCAACTGGGTGGACTTGATTCTTCTGAACTACGCTATCTAAAAAATCATCTATTGCTTAAGTTAGACAGCTGATAACTAATGTGTGGTTTTGGGGTTTTTTTGGTCAGTCGTGGGCTTGAACTCTGGGCCTAGGCCAAGTCCCTCAGCTCTTCAGCTCAAAGTGAGTGCTCTACCACTTGAGCCACAGCTACGGTTTTCTAGTGGTTTATTGGAGATAAGAGTCTCAAGGACTTTCCTGCCCCGGCTGGCTTTGAACTGTGATCCTCAGATCTCAGTCCCCAGGTAGTTAGGATTACAGGCCGTGAGCCCACCGAGCCTGGATGTGTGTGGCATTTTAAAGTCAGCATAATCAACTCATAAAAAAACTTTCCCCAAGCCGGGCACTGGTGGCTCACGCCTGTAATCCTAGCTACTCAGGAAGCTGAGATCTGAGGATCCAATTCAAAGCCAGCCAGGGCAAGGAAAGTCTATAAGACGCTTATCTCCAATAAACCACTAGAAAAACCAGAAGTGGCTCTGTGGCTCAAGAGGTAGAGTGCTTGCCTTGAGCTGAAGAGCTGAGGGACACCGACCAAAAAAAAAAAAAGAAACTTTCCCCAAAGCACTTAGTCTCTAAAGGGCAAATCACACAAACATTATTTGCATATTCCATTTCTCCTGATGTACCTTCTATCAGTTTCCCTACATGTCAGCAATTCTTCTCTGAGATCTCACAGTATCACCGAACTGAGTGACAGAGTGGAGTCTGGATAAACACTGTACCTTGTCTAATTTCACCCGAGATTCTCCTCCACATTCCAGGGGTGTAGTGAGGGTATTTAGATCCTGGCCCCAGAAGGCAAAAAACTTCTCAATTCGGAGACTTCGAAGAGCATAGTACCCAGCATTCCGGATTCCGTATTTTTGCCCAACACTCATCACTTCATTGTACACATGAAGTGCATACTGTTAAAAGGGGAAAAGTTAGAAGCCTTTCAAATCAGAGCTCATATGGAATATATAACATTACTAACGTAGACAAAGGAAAGATTGTACACAACTCCCAGATATCTCATTTTTTTGTTGGTCATGGGGCTTGATCATGAAGCCTGGAAACTATCCCTGAGCTTTTAGGCCCACTTTCGGTTTTCTAGTGATTAACTGGAGATAAGTGTCTCACGGACTTTCCTGCCCTGGCTGGCTTTGAACCGCAATATTATATGTTGGGCTTCTGTATTACAGCTCATTCTTTTTTTTTTCCTTTTGTTGGTCATGGGGCTTGAACTCTGGGCTTGGGCGCTGTCCCTCAGCTCTTCAGTTCAAGGCAAGCGCTCTACCACTTGAGCTACAGCACCACTTCAGGTTTTCTGGTGGTTTATTGGAGATAGGAGTCTCACGGTTTTTCCTGCCCGGGCTGGCTTTGAACCATGATCCTCAGATCTCAGCCTCCTGAGTAGCTAGGATTACAGATGTGAGCCACCAGCGCCCAGCTACAACTCATTCCTAATAAACCATAGGGCTAGAAATTGTTCTTATTATAGTGGTGACCCCACCATCTTACTTAGTTTTGCACTCTTGTTCCAATCTCAACTTTCACTCTTACCCCATCTACTTGACCAACATGTGAAAACCCGGACTGTTAAGTATATATGCACGTTTACTATTTCACATAATTATATAGCTTTTTTTTTTTTTTTTTTTTTTGGTCGGGCCTGGGGTCTGGGTGCTGTTCCTCAGCTCTTCAGCTCTAGGCTAGCTAGCGCTCTACCACTTGAGTCACAGTGCCACTTCTGGCTTTTTCTGCTTATGTGGTGCTGAGGAATCAAACCCAGAGCCTCAGGCATGCAAGGCAAGCACTCTACCACTGAGCCACCTTCCCAGTCCCATAGATAGCATTTTTTAAGAACCCAGAATCAGTGGAGACAGGAAAGCACAGCTTAACTGTGTCTCATTATGCAGCTGTCTCTCTTATGGATGTGTGTATATCTCCTTTTCTTGATTACAGAAACATGTAAGCATCAGTAAGTGAACAAAAGTTTACCCAAATTCAGTTTCTTCTATTGACTAGATGAAGAGGCTATTCTGGACACTTGAAAACAGAATGAGAGACAGCCAGGATAGAAGACTATGGAAATGGGAAGATCAGATACAGACCTGCTGAGAAGACAGCAGGAAGCCTGGACTGACAAGGGTAGGGTAGGCCCACCCACTGAGTGAGCCCCATCAGCTGAGGGTTACTTGGGAGATTTGAGGTAGCCAAGTCTGTTTCCCAGATGATTGCCCAGTGTACCTGCCACGTATGCTAGGTAGGAGAGAGAGCTCTGAGCCTCACATCCAGCAGGCTGCTATATTTCTCCTGCCTTCCTACCACAGGGTTTTTTCTGTAAGTGCCGAAATCACTAAGACCAGCCAGCAGCATGCTGGAGCCCCTTGATTACAGTATCAAATCATTTTCTTTTCTATGGTTTTTTGTGGGATAGTTGACTTTAATTGACTTTAATCTATTTGATTTGTTTTAGTGTTACTGCAGTGACAGCAGAGTTTTTCTCCTCTGAGGTACTGGTGATTAAGTCCTTGTGAGAAAAAACTACAGACCTCCAAATAAAACTGAAAGAAAAAAGCTTTCCCAACAGATGGCAAATTAAAACTTAAGGTAACATATCAACTTCAAGAACTCGCAACTCTTTAATAACTGAATCCAGACACATTGAACAGAATGAAATTGCAAAGAATTCAGAAGTCTTGAAAAGTCTTGTTTTGAAAATGATCAGTAATCTCAAGAAAATTTAAATGAACAAAATGAATTAAGGTAAAACCTGGACATAAGCATCAAGAACTTGGATGAAAATTTCAACTTGGGAAAAATAGTAATATAAGAACATCCAAAGCTTAATAAATCAAAATATTCCAAGGAAAACATCAAGTAGACCAGGTTGCACAAAGACTATGAAGTACTGACACTAGGAGAGAAGAGTTGTTACACTCAGATGACAAAAAAGGTGGGTGGCTCTTGCCTATAAGCCGTGTTACTTGGGAGGCTGAAAGTAAGATTATACCTCAAGGCCAATCCGGCCAAAAAAGTTCACAAGATTCTGTTTGGACACAAAAAGATAGGCTTAGAAGCATACATAGGAGGATCAGAAGCAGGATCAGAAGCATACATAGGAGGATCAAAGTTCAGGCTGGCCCAGACATAAAGACCCTATCTCAAAACAACCAGAGCAAAAAAGGCTACAGACATGGTTTAAGTAAGTTCAAACCCTAGGACTGCCCCCCCCCCCCACAAAAAAAAGATTGTCAGAAAATACAATTAGAAATCAATATGAGGGGTAGAAATACATGAAGGCTGAATAATGCACTCTGGATGAAGAAACCAAAGGTAATTTAAAGTTCTTAGAATTACAGCTGCCAGAGTGACAATAGAGGCCTTGAGTTCAAACTCCAGTACCACCACACACACAAAAAACTATTAGAATCAAATAAAAACAATTTACCATAACGTCCAGAGTAGATAGAACAAAGGCAATTCTTTATTTTTTTGGTCAGTTGTGGGGCTTGTAAAAGCACCTGTAATCCTAGATACTCAGGAGGATTAGATCTGAGATTGTGGCTCAAAGCCCACCGTGCAGAAAAGTCCCTATGAGACTCAATCACCAATTAATCACTCAAAATAACAAGTGGTGCTGTGGCTCAAGAGGGAAAGCACGCACTAGCCTTGAGCACAAAGACACTCAGGGACAGCTGAAGAGCTGAGGGACAGTGCCTAGGCCCTGAGTTCAAGCCCCATGACAGACAAAAGTTTTTTTGTTTTTTTTTTAACAGTTCAAGATGGTGAAATTCCTTCCTGTAGCTTATCTCAATTCTCAAGGCCCAGTCATACACAACTCTCCAAATCTGCAGGTGCTCATAAGCTTTGAGTCGCCACCCCCCTGCTCCCATCCCAGTGGCCCTGGAAAGGAAGATGGAGCTCTTACCTCTATGGGGATATAAAGCATGAATCCTGGCTCTCCTGTGTGAGTCATGCTCATTACCCGGATCCCATTTGCATAGCCAACACTCATCTCCTGTAGACACACAGAAAGTCACAGATACTGATCAAGGGAATAAAGAAACTTCTCATTAGCCCTGTACTCTTCACTTAACTCTTAAGGGAAATATATGTCACCACTTCCAATGTTTGGCCAAACAAATGGTAAAAAGTACTAGCAGTCATTTAGTTGGGGGTATCTGGAGCAATGAGGGCAAGTTTCTTCTGAGGGACACTGCAGACAATCTGGATGCCTGCTACCCTGACAACAGAGATCCATCTTCTAATTTCCAAACATTGTAGCAGCTCCAGTTGAGGCCACTGTCTTAGTCACTGCTGAGCAGCTGAGGGAAGGAAAGTAGCTTCAAACAACACTGAAACCACCATGACAGGTAGTAATGGCTAATGTGGAGCTTCCTGTTGCTTTCCCTGCTTTAGGGAAGAGAGAACAATTTATAGATGGATCTCAACTTTGGTTTGTACTTCAAAGAGCCTCCATCAGTAATTATTTGGAAACAGCTATTACAGGTTGCCAAATGTTTTCTTGTTTAGACCGCTAATAGCTCTAATACTCCTGAAAAGTATTTCATGATCATTGCTTTGATTCAGCTACAATTTGTGTCAGCTATTGCTGCCACTTACAGAAATTTTTGAATTGTTTGAAATACAGTCATATCATTTCTCCCCTAAAGACAAGTATTAAACAGAAGTTAATCTGAAAGAAAAAGCAAAGCTAGGGGAGGAAATAGGTCCTATTCCTTTAAATCTACTGTTACAAAAACCAACAGATGAACAGATCTGGCTTTCAAAGAAGATAGCCTAATAAAATTTGAAAGGTGAAAAATAATCTACCCTGTCCTTTTGCTTGCTTAAAAAAAGGAGCACTGTAAGATGTTAGTGCTCCCACTATGAAAAGAAACATTCTCTGCCAAATTAATACTCACCTTGCAAAAGAGAGTTGGGAAGTGGTCTGGAGTCATAGGTGCGTAGGACAACTCAGATAACACATCCACAGCTCGAGGGCCAATCAGATTGAGGGCTACAGGGAAAAGCACAAAGAGGTGCCTAGCCTGTCTAGGTGAACAACTAAGCCAATGAGAAGTATGTTCTAGAGTTGCTCACCTATGGTCAGCCGTGGGTAATGAGACCACACTATCCCTTTGCTTAGCTTATCTAAGGATGCAACACAGTCACTCTGATCATGGTATGAATACCTCTGCTGACAGGCCTGTCAAATGCAACTACTGACTGCTGGTGTGAAAAGCTGAGTAGTATGTTTCTTCACCCTGGTTCATTAGAAGGCAATGTTTTTTCTTTTTTTTTTTTTTAAATTTTATTTTATTGTGAAGCTACTATACAGAGGGTTACAGTTACATGAGTGAGGTAATGAGTACACTTCCTCTTGAACATTGGGTGACAAGACCAACTCTTGGCCAATGAGATGCTTCCAGGACTGGCCATGGACCGTTTCCATTCTCTTTCTCTTCCTAATGTGACCACATGATGGAAATGGCACCAGTCTCAAACCCCGAAAAGTTATTTACGTCCACCGCCCTGGACTCCTATCTAGAGTATCTAGAGTAGTAGCTTATAATTATACATCAAGTGCCTTAGTACAGGCAGAACACAACTTTTGCTCAATAAGATTCTGTAGTTTTCTGGACACTAGTGGCTTACACTTGTAATCCTAATAACTCAGCAGGCTAAGATCTGGGGATCTTGGTATGAAGCCAGTATGGACAGGAAAGTTTCTGAGGCTTTTCCCCCCCAATCGTAGGGCTTGAACTCAGGGCCTGGGCGCTATCTCTCAGCTTTTTTGCACACGGCATTCTACCACTTTGAGCCACAGCTCAATTTCCTATTTTTTAGGTGTTTAATTGGAAAAAAAAGTCTCAGACTTTCCTGCCCAGGCTGGCTTTGAATCATGATTTTCAGATCTCAGCCTCCTGAGTAGCTAGGATTACAGGTGCCCGGTTCCATGAGACTTATCTCCAACTAACTTCCAAAAAAAGTTGGAAGTACAGGTGTGGCTCAAGTAATAGAGCCCTAGCCTTGAGTGGAAAAAGTTAGGCCCGGAATTCAAGCCCTAGTATGACACAAAAAACTAAAAAGTTTTGTAGTTTGCCAGTGAAGTTAATTACTATTCATGAAAACAGACTGAAGGCCTGAGAATCAACACCGGAGGAAAGGAGCAGGTACCATGTGAGGAGGAAGAGAGGTTAAGTCTCAGTGGGTGGTGTAAGTAGGGCCGCTGGGTGCCGGTGGCTCATACCTGTAATCCTAACTACTTAGGAGGCTGAGATCTGAGAATCAAGGTTCATAGCCAGATCAGGCAGAAAAAGTCCTTGAGACTCTTATCTCAATTAAACCACCAGAAAACTGGAAGTGGCATTGTGGCTCTAGTGAGAGCGTTAGCCTTGAGCTGAAGAGCTGAGGGACAGCACCCAGGCCCAGAATTCAAGCCCCACAACCAACAAAAAAAAAAGTAGGGCCACAGGCTGGGAATATGGCCTAGTGGTACTTGCCTAGCATACATAAAGCCCTGGATTCGATTCCTCAGTACCACATAAATAGAAAAGGCTGGAAGTGGCACTGTGACTCAAGTGGTAGAATGCTAGGCTTTAGCAAAAGAAGTTCAGGGTGCCAGGCACCGGAGGCTCATGCCTGTAATCCTAGCTACTCAGAAGGCTGAGATCTGAGGATTGTGGTTCAAAGCCAGCCCAGGGCAGAAAAGTCCATGAGACTCTTATCTCCAATTATCCACCAAAAAACTGGAAGTAGTGCTGTGGCTCAAGTGGTAGAGTGCTTGCTTTGAGCCGAAGAGCTCAAAGACAGTGCCCAGGCCCAAAGTTCAAGCCCCATGACTGACAAAAAATTTTAAGGCTGGGTGCTTGCAGCTCATACCTGTATTCCAGCCACTCAAAAGAGGTTGAGGGGGCTAGGAAGGTGGCTCAGTGGTAGAGCGCTTGCCTTGCATGCATGAGGCCCTGGGTTCGATTCCTCAGCACCACATAAGCAAAAAGAAAAAAGCCAGAAGTGGCGCTGTGGCTCAAGTGGTAGAGCACTAGCCTTGAGCTGAAGAGCTGAGGAACAGCACCCAGGCCCAGAGTTCAGGCCCCACGACTGGACCCAAAAAAAAAGAGGTTGAGATCTAAGGATCGTGGTTCAGAGTTAGCCCAGGCAGGAAAAATCTATAAGCCTCTTACCTCCAATTAGCCATCAAAAAATGACATAGAGCTCTGGCTCTAGTAGTAGAACATTAACTTTGAGCAAAAGAGCTCAAAGATAGTGCCTAGACACTGACTTGAAGCCCAAGGACTGGCACACAAAAAAGTATTTGTACCCTCCCATACTAGCTGAAGGCATATAGTAATAAATTAAAACTGAAGCACTAGTTTCACAATTAAAAAGCAACCAAAAAGCCTCTTTACAAACACGTTCATTTTTTTTAAGCCAAAAAAGGCAAGTGTAGAAAACAAGTGTTTATCTGCTAGTCTTTTCTAACTTGGGCTGACCCCAGACAGCCCCTTTACCAGTGTATTTCCAGGTGACATCCTCTAACAGCAGGTTGCTGTCTTTTGGCATGTATTTCTTAAGCCAGGACCAACAGTGGACTTGCTGATCAGTTGGAGAGATCATGAAGAAACTAGAAGAGAGATCCCAAAATAAAACCAGGTAACAGGAAAGAATCAGGAAGCAATCAGGCACTAAACTAATTTCAAAGCTCACTGAAAATACTGGGATATCTCAACTTTTTGGAGGATCAACACCACTGTTCTAGGATTTACCATATAATGACAAAACATAATTCTGGCTTCCTATTAGTGCCAAGAAATTATACAGATCTATAAAATAGGGAATCCTCTCCCTGTAGGAAAGCTTCTATACTAAATTTGACATAATCTATTGGATTTCTTACTCTCATAAGAGCTCCACTGATTTCTTTTAGAGGCTGCTAATAAGCTGTCCAATAAGTCTAGGAGAGCTGTCTAGTAAGTCAGTCCTTGGGATAACTGACCTAGAAAAGTACAATAGGTGCTCTCACAGGATCACTAGGGACATGGTTCAAGGAGTATAAAGCTTGGCAAGCCTTTAGTTCAATCCCCAGTAACAACAAAAAAAGACTTCAGAAAATAGTAGCTGATCTCACCTGCGCTTGTTCAAGCGTGCAATGCTGCAGTCATTTTCATACCCTCCACCCTCATTAAGCATGCCAGTATGCACGATGTGGCCCACAGGTACATCCAGGTCATTGGAAAACAGGAACTGTAGAATTTCTAATGCCTGATCTCCAGTGGACTGTAAGAAATGAAGCAAGGACAAGGAACCTAAGAGCCTAGCCGTTGCACCTAGCTGAGAAAAGCAAATGTGCCCACACTCATGTGACAGTATTTACAGATTTACTTCCTATAAAAACTCTAACCACAAAGCTCATAGAACTCATAACTGTTATAGACCACGATAGACAATTTGCCCCATGAAAGTTAGAATGTGTTTGTGATTTTAACTAAGTGTCACTATCCCACAATACTGTGAAATTTGGGAAATTATGTAATCACTTAATCACAATAAAGAATTTGAAACAAAAACCAAACTCTAATCAAGCACCAGGTGCCTGTAATCCTAGCTACCCAGGAAGGTGAGATCTGAGGGTTGGTTCTAAGCCAGCCTGGGTAGGAATTAGCCAGAAGTAGAGTGCTAGCTAGCCTTGAACAAAACACTCAGAGATAATGCCTAGACCCTGAGTCATGCCCCAGGATAGCCTCCACAAAAGGAGAGCAGAGAGAGAAAAACTAAGAGAAAGCTATCAGTTCTTAACAATAGTAACTTCAAAGAAAAAAAACAGACTTGAGCTAAAATTTCAGAAAATGTGAGAATACAGGTGAAACACGCCAGGTTCCTATGGAATGTTTTGAAATGAATTAAAAACAGGAGGCATTCTATTTATATACAGTTTTCCAATCTGTTGGTTCAAAATACTTACTGTTATCTCAAACTTGGTGAAAGAAGACATGTCGATGACACACACAGCTTCCTTACAACACTTGACTTCAGATTCCACAATGTCAAACCAATCTGGCTTGTAGAAAGTCTTGCTCTGCTCTAATGCAAGGAGGTCTACCAAAATGGTGGAAAGAAAAGAGATGCTGAGAACTCTGCTTATACAGGTTGGTATAGTCTAGACAATTTGTATTATCCTTCCAGGAACAATTTGTACTGTTCTTCTAGTTATATGCATTTACACGTTTTATTATAGTTTAAAATGAACAAGAGAGGGCTGGGAAGGTGGCTCAGTGGTAGAGCGCTTGCCTTGCATGCATGAGGCCCTGGGTTCGATTCCTCAGCACCACATAAGCAGAAAAAAGCCGGAAGTGGCCCTGTGGCTCAAGTGGTAGAGTGCTAGCCTTGAGCTGAAGAGCTGAGGGACAGGCCCAGGCCCAGAGTTCAGGCCCCACAACCGGACCCAAAAGAAAAAAAAGAACAAGAGAGCAACTTCTTACCTTTGTCAGGTGGAACAAAGTATTTGGGCCTCTCAAATCCATGTTTCTCCATCCATCTGGCTCCTTGTGCATCCAGCCGGTCATAGAGTGGAGATGTACGTAACTGCCTGCCGGTCTGGAAGTCCCAACGGGGAACCTTCAGATCATACATCAGAGCTAGAACAGAAACAGTATGCCAATGCCCAGTTCATGGATTCAAGAATTGTGTATCCATATTGATCCACTAGCCTCTGAGGCCATTACTACTCAAGAAAACATATTTGCTTAAATTTCCCAACTATTACCCAGTGTAACCAGCCTGCTCCTATAGACAGGAGAGTGCTGTTAAAAGCTGGCACTTTTTTTAAAAGCTAATGAGCTATTCATAATTTCTATTTCCAACTAGTAGGCAAAAACAATGAAAGAAATATCATAGTTCTAGACTTTGCTCAACTCCAAAGCAAGGTTATACCAAAACAGGACCCAAGTGACGACAAAATATTAAAAAAAAAAAAAAAAAGGCTCGGCCTGGTGGCTCATACTTGTCATCCTAGCTACTCAGCAGGCTGAAATCTGAACTGCAGTTCAAAGCCAGCCCAGGCAGAGAAGTCCCCATATGACTTATCTCCAATTAACCACTTAAAAACTGGAAGTGGTGCTTTAGCTCAAGGTGGTAAGGCACTAGTCTTGAGCAAAAGGAGCTCAGGGACAGTGCTCAGCCCGAGTTCAAACTCCACAACAGACCAAATAAAATTTTTTAAAAAAAAACAAGGGGGGCTGGGCAGAAAGCACCGAGGGCCTGAGTTCAAGATACCAGGACACACAGAAAGATCACTCAGAAGTAGAGCTGTAGCTCCAGTAATAGAATATTATCTGTGAGCCAAAGAAGCTCAGTGACAGTGCCCCAGCATCAGCACCGAAAAAAAGACACATCTGAAACACCAAGAATTCTTTGGCAAATCCTCTGTCTTTTAAAGAAAACAATTGGGGGCTGGGAAGGTGGCTCAGTGGTAGAGTGCTTGCCTTGCATGCCTGAGGCCCTGGGTTTGATTCCTCAGCACCACATAAACAGAAAAGGTCAGAAATGGCGCTGTGGCTCAAGTGGTAGAGTGCTTGCCTTGAACCGAAAAGCTGAGGGACAGCTCTGAGCCCAGGCCCAGAGTTCAGGCTCCACAACTGACCAAAAAATAAATAAAACAATGATCTTTAAAGCCAAAATGGGTAGTGACAATGCATTCAAAAGTTGCTAGCTACCACCTGTATCCTAACATTCCTGTTCCTAGAAGTAAACAAGGTACAATATACTAAAAATGTTCCCTATGTATCACATGGGCCTCTTACTCAGACCTAAAATAGACACACATTAGAAGCCCAACTCAAAGCAGTATTCAAGAACTAAGGAAAAACGTGCGCCTCTAACTTATAAAATAGCCACTGGAAAGATTAACCAGCTACAGAGAATCGGGATAAAGCTTACTCACGCATGACTTCCATTACCCGATGGCGCAGAAAGGTACGGCTGCTCTGGAGGGCTCCAAAACGTTTCAAGTCCAATTCCCAGACATTTTCTGAGGGATAGCCATCTACCATCCATTCAGCAAGGTACCTGTTTAGATGGAGACAGAAAGCTGTTGGGCCTCAGACTGATACATAAGTAGTTACAATATACAAAGATCAAGTACCAAGGGAAATGAAAGATTCCTGTGTTGTAACAGACAGCTGAGCAATGCTGGTCAATTTCCTTATTAACCTTTCTAGAATACGCAAACATGGATCCAAGTACTGTCTCATAGAATCACCATAAGGATATTATTTAAGGTATATTAAGCCATATCAATGAAGACATACTAGTAAAACATGTACAAATATATTCTAAATTATATAGCCAATAGTCTACTTTTCTCTGTAACATGGTTACCTGGGGTAATTATATGGTTATCTAGCCACATACCTTAAGTGTTTTTTGGTAACTTTGTTGTTGTTCTTGGTCATGGGGCTTGAACTCTGGGTCTAGAGGCTGTCCCTCAGCTCTACAGCTCAAGGCAAGCTCTCTACCACTTGAACCACAGCTCCATTTCTAATTTTCTGGTGGTTAATTGGAGATAAGAGTCTCTCAGACTTTCCTGCCCAGGCTGGCTTTGAACCGTGATCCTCAGATCTCAGCCTCCTGAGAAGCTAGGATTATAGGCGTGAGCCACTGGTGCCTGGTTTTTGTTTTTTTTTTTTGGTAGCTCTTACAACAACTATATTTTGGAGCCACAAAATACTTTGACCACCCCCCCTTGAGCAAGAAATTTGGACTACACAGGTCTACTTACATATGCATTTCTGTCCAAGATATGAGACAGTTTGAAAACAAAATCTAACAGATGAACTAGCCTAAAACGTTGGAAACATTCAGAAAAAGTAGCCAGGTTTCAGTGGCTAATACCTATAATCTCAGTTACTCAGGAGGTTGAGATCTGAAGGTTAAGATGCTAAGCCAGCCTAGGCAGACAAATCCAAGAGACTTACTGCCAGTTAGCAAAAAGCTGAAAGGTTCAAGTGCTAAAGTGCAGTCATGAGTGAAAAAGCCAAGCAAGAGCCTTGAATTCAAGCCCCTAGCAGAAAAAGAAAAAAAGGTATGCCAAGAACACATAAAATACATATAATATTGTTGTACCATTTACTGCCAAATATGTAATACCTATTATCAAAATTTAATGTGATACATAGACATGGTACCATTTCAGTTTAAAAAAATGTAAATGTGGGCTGGGAATGTGGCTCAGTGGTAGAGCGCTTGCCTTGCATGCCTGAGGCCCTGGGTTCAATTCCTCAGCACCACATAAGCAAAAAGAAAAAAGCCGGAAGTGGCGCTGTGGCTCAAGTGGTAGAGTGCTAGCCTTGAGCTGAAGAGCTGAGGGACAGCGCCCAGGCTCAAGAGCTCAGACCCCACGACCGGAACCAAAAAAAAAAGAAAAAAGAAAAATGTAAATGTAAATATGCAGTATTAAACCATAAATGTAGAAAATGAACTGTAGTACATACTGTGCTCTAGAAACCTCCTGTTGCTATAGGGCTAAGCTCTGGAGTTCTGAGCTCCCGTCATAAGGGGGTGCTGCTCTTTCTTCCAAGAGTAGTTCATGTCCTTCTGTAAGAAGTGATCTGTACTTCTCAAGTATTTTTCACTGAATGGCATAAATATACTATATAGCATAAATATGACAGACTATGTGTCATTGAGTATGCTACTAAGAATGCTGTTGATAAGTGACTAGCTATTCACAGTAAGTTCTGGGAAAATCTAAAGTTATACTTGGAGCTCCATCTACAAAAGTGTAGAGGCCGGAAGTGGCGCTTGGCTCACGCGGTAGAGCACTCGCCTTGAGCTGAAGAGCGCAGGGACAGCGCCCAAGCCCAGAGTTCAAGCCCCACAACCGACCAAAAATAAAAATAAAACTTCTTTTAAAAAAAAAAGTGTAGGGGATTGGGTGGGGGGGTGGGGAGAGGCTAGGAAGGGATGTGAAGGGTAAACAAAGGAGGAGGCTGCAATGCTTGATAAGAAATGTACTCATTATCTTGCCCATGTAATTGTAACCCCTCTGTACAGTATGTTCACAAAAAATTAAAATTAAAAAAAAAGTGTAAAGGCCAGGTGTCAGTGGTTTACACCTATAATCCTACTCAGTAGGATGAGACTGAGAATCGTGGTTCAAAGCCAGCCTGGGTGGGACAGTCCGTGAGACTCTTATCTCCAATTAACTACCAGAAAGCCGGAAGTAGAGCTGTGGCTCAAGTGGTAGAGAGCTCGCCTTGAGTTGAAGAGCTGAAGGACAGCACCCAGACCCAGAGTTCAAGCCACAACCAAAGGGGGGGGGGGGGAAAAAGGGCTGGGAAGGTATCTCAGTGGTAGAGTGCTTGCCTTGCATCCATGAGGCCCTGGGTTCGATTCCTCAACACCACATAAGCAGAAAAAGCTGGAAGTGGAGCTATGGCTCAAGTGGTAGAACGCTAGCCTTGAGCTGAAGAGCTCAAAAGACAGCTTAGAGAGAAGGGCAATGATGAACATAAAGAGAATTTGAGTTTGTAGACTGCCATCCTAGTGACTCAGGAGGCAGGGATCAGAGGATCATGGTTCAAGGTTAGCCCAGGCATAAAAAGCTCCAGGGACTCCATTTCAACCAATGTCTAGACATAGTGGTACATGCTTGTTAATCCCAGCTATAGGGGAAGCACAAGTCTGGGTGCAGTAGTACAACCTGTCATCCCCAGTTACAGGGGAAGCACAAACAAGAGGATCACAACCCAGGCAACTTGAGTATAAAGCAAGATCCTACCTCGAAAATAAGCAATGTAAAAAGGGGCTACCAGTGCAACTCCTACAATACTATCAAAAGGTCCAGTGCAATCCCCAGTACTGGAAAAAAAAAAAAAAAACCAAGGAGGTAAGATACTCTTTTTGCTCATGACAGTGTGGGGTTTTTTGTTGCTGTTGTTCATGGCTGGTGCTCTACCAGTTGAGCCGTAACTCTAGTCTCTTTTTTGCTGGTTAATTGAAGTCTTGCAGACTTTTCTGCCCAGGCTAGCTCTGAACCATAATCCTCATAATTGTGCCCACTGAGTAGCTAGGATTACAAGCATGGGCCACCAGTGCCCAACTCAAAATACGGTTAAAGGTTTTTAAATTGTTTCATGGTGGCTGGAGATTTAGTTCAATGTAAGAGTGCTTGCCTAGAAGTACAAGGCCTCAGCACCAAAATTATCTTTAAGAGTTTAAGGTTTTTTGGGGAGGTGGTTGTTTTGTTTTTGCCAGTTCTGGGGCTTGAACTCAGGGCTTGAGTACTGTCCCTGAGCTTCTTTTGCTCAAGGCTAGCACTCTCACTTGAGCCACAGCTCCACTTCCAGCATTTTCTGTCTTATGTGGTACTGAGGAATCAAACCCAGGACTTCATGCATGCTACGCAAGCACTGACCATTAAGCCACATTCCCAGCCCCAAGAGTTTAAGGCATTTTTAATAGCTTCATATTTTACGAAATACCAGTGTCTCATGCCTATAATCCTAGCTACTCAGGAGGCTGAGATCAAGAGGATTTTGGTATAATGCTAGGCCAAGCAGAAGAGTCCACAAGATTCCATCCATCTCCAGCAAAACAAACAAACAAAAAAAAACAGGCTACAGGTTAAGGCCCAATTGGTAGAACACCACCCAAATAAGCAAGCAAACTCCAGTACCAAAAAAAGAAAAAAAGTTTAACTTTTTATCAAAGTTTACAACTTCATTTCCTCTTCCCAAAAGTCAGCAATTCCAAGAACCTTTTATTTTTTTTTAATGTATTTTTAATTTAATTTTATTGTAAAGATGTTGTACAGAGGAGTTACAGGAACATGAGTAAAGCAATGAGTATCTTTCTCATCGAGCATTCTTTTTTTTTTTTTCTGGTTATGTGGTGCTGAGGAATCGAACCCAGGGCCTCATGTGTGCAAGGCAAGCGCTCTACCACTGAGCCACCTTCCCAGCCCCCAAGAACCTTTTAATAAAGTCTTAATAATTAAAGAAAAAAATTATAGCCCGTACTGGTGGCTCAGCCATCAGTAATCCTAGGAACTCAGGAAACAAATCTGAGAACCAAAGCCAACCCAGACAGGAAAGTTTATAGACTCTTCAATTTGTCACCAAAAAACCAGAAGAGGAGCTGTGGCTCCAGCGAAAAAGCTAAGGCCAAGTTTGAGCCCCAATACTATAACACACACACATACATCATGGACAGTTGTTCAACAGCACAGGAGAGTTGGCAACCCTAAATCTTAAATTGTTCAAGGGTCAACTATACACATAAAAATTACTATTAACAAGCCAGGTTCACACCTGAATTCCTAGCTACTCAGGAAGCTGAGATCTGAGGATCATGGTTCAAAGCCAGCCCAGGCAGGAAAGTCTGTGAGACTCATCTCCAATAAATCACCAGAGAATCAGAAGTGGTGCTCTGGCTCAAGTGGTAGAGCGCTTGCCTTGAGCTGAAGAGCTAAGGGACAGCACTCAGGCTGAGTTCAAGCCGCACAACAAGAACAAAAAAAGATTACTATTAACTATTTCTTTACATGTGTGTTTCAGTGGCAATAAGTACACTCAACTGTTATATAACCCTCATCACTATCCATCTCCAGAACTCTCGCCATCTACTGAAATTTTCTTTTTTTTTTTTTTTTTGGGGGGGGGGGTCCGGTCGTGGGGCCTGAACTCTGGGCCTGGGCGCTGTCCCTCAGCTCTTCAGCCAAGGCTAGCACTCTACCACTTGAGCCACAGCGCCACTTCCGGCTTTTTTCTTTTTGCTTATGTGGTGCTGAGGAATCAAACCCAGGGCCTCAGGCATGCAAGGCAAGCGCTCTACCACTGAGCCACCTTCCCAGCCCCTACTGAAAATTTCTATCTGTTCAATAGTAACACCTCCGCAGACCCCACTTTCAACCCATACAACCACTGCAGTACTTTGTGTTGGGTTTTGTTTGTTTTTTGGTATCAGTGCTGGGGCTTGAACTCAGGGCCCTTAGCTTTTTTGCTCAAGGCTTCCATTCTACCACTAGAAGCACAGCTGTGTGTGTGTGTGTGTGTGTTCTACCACTAGAAGCACAGCTGTGTGTGTGTGTGTTCTACCACTAGAAGCACAGCTGTGTGTGTGTGTGTTCTACCACTAGAAGCACAGCTGTGTGTGTGTGTGTGTTCTTCTGATCTCAGCCTCCAGAGTGGCTAAGATTACAGGTGTGAACCACCAGCATCCAACTATGTTTCCTTTTGTTGTTTTGTTTAACAGCTGGTGCTCTACCACTTGAGATACACTTCCAGTACCATGTGCCTGTTTTAGAAATTCATAAAAGCATTATCAGATAGCAGTTGTATCCTTTTGTGGCTGATTCTTTTTTTTTGGCTGATCAATTTTTATTACTAATTTTAACTAAAAATCTTATTACCTAGCTTAACCACCTGATCTTACTCATCATACTTGACGACTTACTTTTTTTTTTATCTCCTAGGCCCTATCCTTCAGCTCTTCAGCTCAAGGCTACTGCTCTACCACATGAGTCACAGTGCCACTTCCGGGCTTTTCTGTTCATGTGGTGCTGAGGAATCAAACCCAGGGCCTCATGCATGCAAGGCAAGCACTCTACCACTGAGCCACCTTCCCAGCCCCTGTTAAAAGTATTAACAACAAATAGAAGAAGGCTGGCAAGCTGATGAATCCACAGCTGACTCTATGGGAGAAAAACTTACTTTCCAGCTCCTCCACCAAACGACAGGCCAGCAGAGTTCATCCCTGCCAGGACAAAGTAGCCCTGTACTACAGGAGACTCGCCCATGATGCACCTCATGTCTGGTGTGAAGGTCTCGGGGCAATTCACCAACTTCATGATCTCCAGAGTCTCCAATTCTGGCATCCTACGCAGGAGGGAACTCAACAGGGGCTCTGAGCAATCAAAACAAACCCAAACAATGTCCTCACCTTTGGGAAATAAAAAACCTTTCAAGCCTTTACTTTTTTACTTTCCTTTCAGAAAGGAAAGGTTTTTCTAAAAGCCAGCTGGGCTACTTATCAGTAGATAGCTTCTGCAGTACATATCTGCAAAATGCTTGGCATAAACAGGGGAAAAAAAAAACTGTAGTAAGGACAAGATCTACAGAGTAGCAAGTAATACACATGGCTATAGGCAGTAATCTGGAAGGGGTCAGCAAGAGCAGAAAAGCTCTGAAATGGCACTTAATTTCTATGAAAGGCAATGTTTTCTAAATTGACATAGGTGCAAAAAACAGATCCTCACCCTGTATTATGGTAAATCCATCTAGCCGATCCATGTTAGCACTGGGCAGTGCTAACATGAAAACAGTTTGGAGCTGAGTGACAGGAATGGGCATTCCCTCTACTGCTCTAGTTGCTTTGAAATATCCCTTAAGAAATGCTTATTAAAAAAAAAGTTCAAGCTGGGCAGTGTGACATGTCTGTAATCAGTACTCAGAAGGCTTAGATAGGAGAAATGTGAGTTCAAGATCAATTTAAGAGCTACAAAGGGACACCCTGTCTCAAAGTCCATCAGGATGGGAGAAAGATTCTCTAGCAACCCCTTTCTATTCTGCAAATATGGAACCATGTGACTTCATTTTTTTAGTAAATAAAAAATTACTTTAAAATTTAATAGATGAGCTGGGGCGCTGGTGGCTCATGCCTGTAATCCTAGCTCTCAGGAGGCTGAGATCTGAGGACCATAGTTCAAAGCCAGCCTGGGCAAGAAAGGCCGTGAGACTCTTCTCCAATTAACCACCAGAAAACCTGAAGTGGTGCTGTGGCTCAAATGGTAGAGTGCTCTCCTTGAGCTCAAGAGCTGAGGGACAGTGATCATGTCCAGAGTTCAAGCACCATGACCGACCAAAAAAAAAAAAAAAATTAATAGATGACATTAACAAAAACAGTTCTGCTTTCTAAAAAAAAGCTAAGTTTCTTATGAAGTCTTACAAAAAAAGTCTCTTTCTAGCCCAAAATTTTAGCAATGGTTTTAGGTGAATAATGATCTACATCTGTTAAGACTATAGTCTCCTAAATATGCTAATGAATAATTTTATATCCTTAGACCAGGAAAGCCCTGCAGACTGACTGCCCTTTTCTAACTATTATTGTACTTCATGGAGTTATTAAGATGAAATAAGGAGCTATTCCTGAAAATGTTTTGAAAAATAAAAGATCTTACATATAGATGGCATTATTACAATGATTTACTTCACATACCAAAGTGATCCCAGTCTTCCTGCAGGTTCTGAATTTCCAGCTGGTTCTTGCCTTCAGTGAAAATAGGTTTCGGATTCTTCTCAAAACCCCCAGACAAGATGCCACCCTGCCAGTTCCGAATATAAATTCTTCCATCAGCATCTACAATAGCTAGGAAAGATAAATGACGAGAGAATAGAAGAGAAAAACACAAGTTTAGAAGCAAACCACCTTCCTGAGTAGAAAAAGAAACAAAAGCTCCTGAATGGCTTTACTAATGGAATAATAGCCAATAAGCAGAGGCATTAGTTAATTTTAAAATACCACTGGAGGTCATAGGAGAGAATCTTTCCATTCAGATTTTCAGAAAAAAGAATTTCTTTAATTATCCCAATCCCTATCAAGAAGCTTTTGCTTCAAAACTGAACTATATGATAGTGACTGTGCTAAGCCAAAAAAACCCAAAAAACAAAAAACAGAGGAACTGCAGAGTTATTCCAGGTATTAAGACCTTTAAAATACCTGAACAGCTAAACCACTCAAGTTTATGGTTTATCCATGATATTCCTAAAGTTGATTGTATTCAAGTTAAAAACTCAAAATTAATATTTCAAATATTCCCAATGACTGTATTTGGGACAAAAGTTAGCTTGTGAAAATTCTTTTTTTTTTTTGCCAGTCGTGGGGGCTGAACTCTGGGTCTGGGCACTGTCCCTCAGCTCTTCAGCTCAAGGCTAGTGCTCTACCACTGGAGCCACAGCGCCACTTCCGGCTTTTTCTGTTTATGTGGTGCTGAGGAATCGAACCCAGGGCCTCATGCTTGCAAGGCATGCACTCTACCGCTGAGCTACCTTCCCAGCCCCAGCTTGTGAAAATTCTTTATCCATTTTGGCAATCATTTCCCTAAACAGCTATCAAAAAAAGTTAGACTTGGTTCCATCTCGCTATAAACATGCTCCAAAAAAACTCTCTTTCAGACAACTTATACTTAAGACAGGATATTAGCAGACAGGATACTAGCAAGGAGATACAACTGTGAAGAAGTGAAAGTCCTCACTTGGTGTGGTGCTCTGCAGAGGGGTCTCCAAGGGGCGAGTCAGAAGGTAGAAGTGCTCACAGGCGTGTAACGGGATACTAACTGGCTCCTCGTTGGACAGACCTAGCTCATATGCCCACTAAAAATAGACAATTTGTGGGTAGGAAGAGGAACAGAAACACAAATGAGCAAGTTTGGCCTCTTGAAGAGTTATTATTATTTATGTGTGTATGCTGGTCCTTAGGGCTTGAACTCAGGGACTGGGTGCTGTGCCTGAGTTTTGCTCAAGGTTAACACTAGCACCCTTCCACTTGAGCCACACTTCTGGCTTTTTGCTAGTTAACTGGAAATCAGAGTCTGTTAGATTTATCTAGCTTAGAACCAAGATCCTAATGCCCAAGCCCAGAGTTCAAGTCCCACTACTGACGAAAAAAAAAAGTCAAAGTTGAACCAACGTCTTCAGATCTTAACCTTCCCTTAGGACTAGGATTACAGATGTGAGGCACAGGTACCTGGTTTAACACTGCTTTTTTTTTTTTTTTTGGCTAGAGCTCTACCACTTTGAGCCACAGTACCCACTTCTGGTTTTTGAGTGGTTAATTGGAGATAAGAGAGTCTTACGGAGTTTTCTACCCAGGCAGGCTTTGAACTATGATCCTCAGATTTTAGCCTTCTAAGTAGCTAGGATTACAGGTATGAGCCACTGGTGCCTGGCAAAGCTATACTTTTTAAAACACAAAAGTACCTTTCCATCAAAGAAGACAGATTTGCAAGTTAATCTAAGGAGGCCCTTTTAATAAATTGCCAAGTCTCAACTATAAACCCCAAATCTCAATCATTAAATGAACTGCACTAGGCAAAAAGTACTTCCTAGATCATCTTAAGAATGGGGATGGGAGGGTGGGGGGAGGATTGGGGGGGGGGGGCTTGGAAGGGATGGGAAGGGGAAACAAAGGAGGAGGCTACAATGCTTGATAAGAAATGTACTCATTATCTTGCCCATGTAATTGTAACCCCTCTGTACAGTTTTTCACAATAAAAAAAAAAAAAGAATGGGGATGGGAACGTGGCTTAGTGGTAGAGTGCTTGCCTAGAGTGCATGAAAACCTGGGTTCAATTCCTCAGTCCCACATAAGCAGAAAAAAGCTGGAAGTGGTGCTATGCGTCAAGTGGTAGGGTGCTAGCCTTAAGCAAAAGAAGCTCACAGACAGTGCCCTGACTTCAAGCCCTAGGACTTTTTGTTTTGTCAAAACAAAAAACAAAAAAGAACTCAGAATGGAAGGCAAGTCACCAATCTGCGTCAGAAGCAGAAGTGTCTGGAAACTGAATCCACAGTCTACACAACAAAAGAGGCTAATGTTGGTTTTTTGTAGTATGTAGAGCTTAAATGCAGGGCCTGGGCACTGTACCTGAGCTCTTTTTCTTTTTTTTTTTTTTTTTTGGGGGGGGGGGGGGCCGGTCATGGGGCCTGAACTCTGGGCCTGGGCGCTGTCCCTCAGCTCTTCAGCTCAAGGCTAGCACTCTACCTTTTGAGCCACAGTGCCACTTCCAGCTTTTTTCTTTTTGCTTATGTGGTGCTGAGGACTGGAACCCAAGGCCTCATGCATGCAAGGCAAGCGCTCTACCACTGAGCCACCTTCCCAGCCCCCTTGAGGCTCTTTTTCTTAAGGCTAGCACTCTACTACTTTGAAACACAGCTCTACTTCCAGTTTTTTGAGTGGTTAATTGGAGGTAAGAGTCTTACAGTGAGTTTTCTGCCTGGGCTGGCTTCCAACTGCAATCTCAGATCTCAGCCTCCTGAGTAGCTAGAATCAAAGGCATGAGCCACCAGTCCCTTTGCTAATGTTTTATTTGTTAGGTTGTAGAATGAAATGTAACACCAGAGAAAGATCCAAGGATTCATGTCAATGCCTGACTTTGGCTTTCTGACTAGGATGGCATCAATTTACGCAGTATTGAGGAAAGAAAAGGTCACAGATGCTTCTATATGAGGCAAGTATAGGTTTCTAATTTACATTATAAGAATTCTGAATTTCCACAGGGTTCTGGTGGCTCACACCTGTTATCCTAGCTACTTAGGAGGCTGAGATCTGAGGAGCACAGTTCAAAGCCAGCCCAGGCAGGAAAGTCCATGAGACTTTTTATCTCCAATAAACTACTCAGAAAAAGCTGGAAGTGGCTCTGTGGCTAAAGCGGTAGAGCGCAAGCCTTTAGCACAGAGAGCCTCAGAGACAAAGCCCAAGCCCCAAGTTCAAGCGCCAGGACCAGAAAAAAAGGGAATTCTGAATTTCCTGGTCCCAACTAGTAAAATAGTACCTGCTGTCCTTTTTAGTCAGTCACATATTAATCTTGCATCTGTACACTCCCCCAAAAGCACCAAAAACTAAATAAAAACAACCCAGCATTGAAATCCAAATAAAACCACCAAGCAATTCTGTTAACCTACCTGACCAGCACAGTTGACAAAATATTGGCATTCTATCTGTCCTTTATCTGTCTCCACACCAGTAACTTGGCCTTTTTTCACCATTACATGAAGAATAGTTGTCCGATCATAAATCTGAACACCTGTGCCAAGGTAAATTATAGAAGAATGAATCCATCTTCTGATATTCCAGAATTAAGGTTTCTGCACATTTTCCACCACAAAGAAATACTAAGGGAGTCAGAGCTTTAATTTGAAAAACAAAAATCCGGGCTGGGAAGGTGGCTCAGTGGTAGAGTGCTTGCCTTGCATGCATGAGTCCCTGGGTTCAATTCCTCAGCACCACATAAGTAAAAAGAAAAAAGCCGGAAATGGTGCTGTGGCTCTAGTGGTAGAGCGCTAGCCTTGAGCTGAAGAGCTGAGGGACAGTGCCCAGGCCCAGAGTTCAGGCCCCACAACTGGACCAAAAAGAAAAAAAAAGAAAAATCCCACTGAATGTAGTAACTTGAGCCTCTAATCCTAACTAATCCAGAGATAAGACAAAGAAGAGCATAGTTCAATGCCATCCAGAGAAAAAAGTTTATGAAACTCCATCTCAACAACGAAGCTGGTGGGAGAAGGGGAGTGGGAAGTGATAAGCAGGAGAAAATGAAGGAGGGGATAAATGTTTAAAAAGAAATATACTCATTACCTTATGTAACTGTAATCCCCGTTCATCACCTTTAAAATAAATTAAAAAACAAAGAAGCCGTGTGCAGTGGTACACCCTGTCATCTGAGCTAAGTCTAAAATAGGAGGCCCGTCATCCAGGGGAAGGCCTCTGCAAAGAGTGGGTATCTCAAGATACCCACTGCAAAAAAGAACTGGATACATGCTTAATGGTTAGGCACTTGTCTAACAGGCTCAAGGCCCTGAATTCAAACACCAATATTACAAACAACCCTGAAAAGCACCATCTTGAGACTGTTATTTGGTCTTGTCCAATACTGAAAATAGTAAGCTTATTTAAAAACAGACTTTAATATAGCTGGGCGCCGGTGGCTCACGACTGTATCCTAGCTACTCTGGAGGCTGATCTCGGTTCAAAGCCAGCCATGAAAGGGCATGAAAGTCTGTGAGATTCTTATCTCCAATAAACCACTAGAAAACCGAAAGTGGCGCTGTGGCTCAAGTGGTAGCGTGCTCGCCTTGAGCTGAAGAGCACAGGGACAGGGCCCAAGCCCAGAGTTCAAGCCCCATGACCGACAAAATATAAAAATAAGAGAAATAAAAACAGACTTTACTGCATAATCACTAAATGCTAGCAATCAAATATGGAACAGGAACAGGGTTCAAATTTTACTCTGTCCACATCATGAATCATATTATCCTAAGTATATAATACTCTGGACACTAATAAGCTTCCTTGTCATTCATTCTGATTCTGGCTCACAAGTTAAACTATGGATTAAATACTCAAGGTATGTTCTAACTTGAGAGTGTCTCAGGTGTGTGTGTGGCACCAGTGTGTGTGGGGGGGGGCCCCCCCCGCGGGATTTCCTTAAGACTCAACTACATTAATCAGCACTAAAAGTAGTTCTTTATAACTTGGACAAATGTAGCCTCAAGGGAAAATACTTACTGTATTTTAAAATTTAGCAATGCAAGGCACCAATGGCTCATGCATGTAATACTAGCTACCTATCAGGAGGCTGAGATCTGAGGGTCATAGATCAAAGCCAGTCGGGGCAGAAAAGTCTATGAGACCAAGTAGCCAACAAAAACCCATAAATAGAAGTGTAGCTGAAGCAGTAGGTCCCTACCCTTGAGCAAAAGAGCTCAGGAACAGTGCCAGGCCAGGTTCGAGCCCAGGAGCAGTGCAAAAGAAAAAAGTAGTGTTCAAAAAACGTGAAGCTGAATACCCCATACCCCACTGAGGAAGTTTCACAAACTTCAGTTGGTGTTGTTGCCTATTAAGGCCCTTACTTAGATAAGCTCTTCCTCCCAAACCCATGTTAAGAAAACACGAAGCTCACCGTTCTGGGAAGCAGCACTTGCAAGGGCAAGAGCCACATCAGCAGAGGATACCACTGCATCCTCAGGAACATGCATGGCCCCCACCAGGTCGTGCACATTGAGGAGAGGGTGAAGTTCAGCCACTTTCTTGGGAGAGATGATCTCAGAAGGGATACCTATAACACTGCCATAGAACACAAGGGAACAATAATATTCACATGCCCCAGAGGTCAAGTTAGTAAAGTCAGGATGGGCTTCTAGCCTCTTACATACTTCAGCCTTGAGTTGATACGCTTCAAAGAGATTAGCCGGTCCTGTGTTTGGGCCAGAGAAATTGAGCCTGTTCTTATGTAACCTGTAAGAAAAAGTGGTAGAGAACTAGTCTTAAGCATTTCAAAGCTCAGGGACAACAAACACTCAGGCTCTGAGTTTAAGCTCCGTGACCAAAAAGTCTCACAGGCTTTCCTGCCTGGGCTGGCTTTGAACTGTGATCTTCCTATCCAGCCTCCTAAGTAGCTAGCATTATAGGCGTGAGCCATCAGCACTCAGCTAAAACTGAAATCTTAATTACCCTATCTCCAGGAAAACCTGCTATAGGACTATACAGTAAACACTAAGAGTTTGGGGACAGGTAAATCAATAAAGGGCAGATTACCTGCTTACCTGTTTGGATCCCTGTTTCTTGCTCTAACTGATGGTAGAGTTTGTTTGAATAGTCTGCCATCTTCTGCTCGATAGTCAAGTGTCTGGCAGTGCTCACAATTCCAGCACAGAATCTAGTAGAGCCTGCAGCCAACCTACAGGATAGATAAAATGCTGGTATACTCATATATCTGTGAAAAAAGTTCAAGGTTCCCAACTATAGCATTGCTTGTAATATCAAAAGATAGAAACAGAGCTGAGCACAGTGGCTCAAGCCTATAATTAGCTATATGGGAGGCAGAGGTAGAGGATAAGGGAATCACAGTTAAAGGCCAGCTAGGTATAAAAGTTCAAGAAACTCCATCTTGCCAGGTGCCAGTGGCTTTGCTATCCTAATGAAAATGGTATAGGTTTTTCTCATTCCCTCTCTTCTGTAATAATGTCTTACAAATAGCTAGTCTAAATATTACTCAGTAGCATGTGAAAAATCAAGGTGAAATCTCCTATACTTTGTTTTATAATGCCTAACACCACATCTGTTTTCTGCTTTTTGAAGAGCAGATTTCAACAAAAACAAATGTCTTAGAAGGATGCGTGTCTGTGTTCACAGCACATCTTTTCTTACTCTAGCAACCTAAATCCTAAGGCTTGTGAGCTGAACAAAGGTGGCTACTTTCTGCTCATTTTTTTTTTTAAACTTTAAAACAGTTTTAGATTTCCAGAAAAACTGTAAAGACAGAGTTCCAATGTACCTTTAACTGCCTTTCACTCATTACTAATTTCTTCACTAAAAATGTTTCACTTAACCAATATTCATACATCAGTATTAACTGCCTCCTCATTCTTCTTTTTGCTGTGACAATCTGTGACTTTCCTTGGTTTTAGTGAACAATTGACTGTTTAGGAGTTGGTTTTGTTTTGTGCTAATCCTGGGTCCTGAAATCATGGCGTGGACACTATCTTGAGCTTTTATTTGCTCAAGGCTGACAATACTACTTGAACCACAACTCTACATCTAGCTTTTTGGTGGCTACTTGGAGATAACAGTGTCACAAACATTCCTACCTGGGCTGATTTTAACCTATAATCCTCAGATCTCAGCCTCCTGAGTAGATAAGATTATAGGTGTGAACCACTGCTGCTTCATGTTTTTTTGTTTTTTTTTGGAGGAGTTTTTTGACCTAATAGATTTTTTTTTTTTTTGCAACATTTTAGATTTTGACAAGAATTTGTGTTTATGAAATAATGTGGGCTGTATTTAAATGAACAACGACCTGTCCAGCCTTACCTGCCCTGCTCCAAAAGGATAATATCCTTCCATCCCATCTTGGAGAGGTGATAGGCCACAGATGTGCCCATGATTCCACCCCCACAGATGACCACCTGGGCCTGGGCAGGCAGGGAAACAGACTGAGCCTCGGCAGCTGTCATGTTGCGTCTTGCTGAGGACCAACTCTGCCATCCTGAACTGGTTTTTTGTCTTCGAACAATAGACAGCAATCGGAAAAGCATCACGTCTGTCACTAACCAGATGTGCTCTCATTCAGCTAAGGAAATCCCAAGAAGTCAAACTAAACAGAAAAGAAAACATATTTCATTCCAACAATTCAAACTAGACAGAAAAATATATTTCATTCCATTGAACACAGTAGGAGTAATAAGAAAAAAGATTTAGCAAATTAAGCTGAGCAACAATGGCGCACGCAATAATCCTAGCTGTTCAGGAGGCTGAGCATCAAGGATCACAGTTTGAAGCCAGCATGGACAGGAAATAAGCCAAAACAAAACAAAAACAGAAGTAGAGCTGTGGCTCAAGTGGTAGAGGGCTATCCTGGAGCAAAAAAAAAAAAAAAAGCTCTCAGGCACTGGTGGCTCACATCTGTAATTCTGGTTACTCAGGAGGCAGAGATCTAAGGATTGTACTTCAAAGCCACCCCAGGCAGAAAAGTCCATGAGACTCTTATCTCCAATTAACAGCCAGAAAACCAGAAGTGTCCCTGTGGCTCAAAGTGGTTGAGTGCTCGCAAGCCCTGAGTCCAAACCCCACGGCTGACAGCCCCTCACCCCCACCCTCCCCCCCAAAAAAAGCTGAAGACAGCACTCAGGCCCCAAGTTCAAGTCCTAGGACTGGCACAAAAAAAAAAATAATAAATTTAAAAAAGAAGGTATCAGAGGGGCACCATGAATCCTGCCTGTACTCAGGAGACAACAAGCTAAGGATCACAGCTCAAAGCTGGCCTGGGCAGGAAAATCCACGAGACTCTTAATTTCCCATTAACCAGCAAAAGCTGGAAGTGACACTATGGCTCAGGTGGTAGAACATCAGCGTTGAGTGAAAAAGCTAAGGATGAGTGCCGAGGCCCTGGTACTGGCACAAAAAATAAAGTATCAAGCCAGGTGCTAGTGGCTCATGCCTGTAATCCTAGCTAAGACCTGAGGATCATGGCTCAAAATCAGCCAGGGCAGGAAAGTCCATCAGAACTTTGTCTCCAAATAACCAAAAAAACAAAAGCAAAAACAAAAACGGAAGTGACAACCAAAAAACAGAAGTGGCTCAAAGTGGTAGACCTCTAGCCTTGAGCAAAAAGAACTCTGGGACAGTGCTCAGACCCAGAGTTGAAGCCCTACAACAGAAAAATAAAAACAAGGTATCATATGTTCTCACTCATATATGGAAAACAAACCTATAATAGAAATCTTTTTTTTTTTTTCTGGTCCAGTCGTGGGGCTTGAACTCTGGGCCTGGGCGCTGTCACTCAGCTCTTCAGCTCAAGACACTTGAGCCACAGCGCCACTTCCGGCTTTTTTTTTTTTTTTTGCTTATGCAGTGCTAAGGAATCGAACCTAGGGCCTCATGCACGCAAGGCAAGCACTCTTCCAGTGAGCCACCTTCCCAGCCCTATAATGGAAATCTTATTTCATAGCACCAGATACAATTCTTCAATGACTTTGAGGCTCATAGGAAAAAGTCACAACTCCTTAGTATAAAGTGCAATCCAGTTTTTTATTTTTGTTTTTTGCCAGGCCTGGGGCTTGAACTCAGGGCCTAGGCACTTTCCCTGAGCTTCTTTTGCTCAAGGCTAGCACTTTACGAATTGAGCCACAGCGCCACTTCCGACTTTTTCTGTTTACATGGTATTGAGGAATCGAATCCAGGGCTTCATGCATGCTAGGCAAGCACTCTACCACTAAGCTATATTCCCAGCCCAACAATCCAGTTTTTGGGTTTGTTTTGTTTTGATCGCTGGCCTTACTGCTTTGTCCTCTCACACTGTGTGATCAAGCCCAATTAAACTTGTAATAATACGCCAAGCTTAACTTCCTTCATGCCCAGGACCTGTGCATCCTGTTCCTCTAACTGGCACTGTTTCTGCCATGCCTCCCTCAAAGAAAGATAACTGCCTCAAGTGACAGAGTATTCAACATCAGATGGCCCTGTCCATGAATAAACGCCTCTTCTGTGTCCTTCTATAGCATCCCACACTTTTCCCAACAAAAACTTCCCACATTGCTGAACTATTTGTATGCCAAGCAGGGAAGAACCCAGTGGAAAACCCAGGCTCTGAGAAAGATCTGGGTGTGAAAGATGAGAGAGGGGAGGGGGAGAGAGAGGGAGGGAGAGGGAGGGAGAGAGAGAGAGAGAGAGAGAGGGAGAGAGGGAGAGAGGGAGAGAGGGAGAGAGGGAGAGAGGGAGAGAGGGAGAGGGAGAGGGAGGGAGGGAGGGAGGGAGGGAGGGAGGGAGAGAGGGAGAGAGAGAGAGAGAGAGAGAGAGAGAGAGAGAGAGAGAGAGAGAGAGAGAGAGAGAGAGAGGTGTGTGTGTGTGTCTCTGTCTTTCTCTGTCCCTCCAGTTCCTCATCTGTTATATGAGCTAAGAATATCTATCTATTCTACAATGATTATCTACTTCATGAGGAAAGACTAGGCCATACAACCAATGCAGGAAGAATGGGCAACTGGTCCTTAAGAAACACTCAGAAAGTGGTTGCTATTACTCCCCAGTTAAATGGCACTCTCTGGAACCAGAGACCAACAATAATTTGTTCCTAGTTTCCAGGCACTTACCACAGGCACCTAGGAAACAAATGCTGGTGACAGAGAACAAAAGATATAGGAAAAAATATTAATGAACTACAGATCTCTAGATGAGGCCTTTAATTTCAAGGTTATAACAATAGTACTTGAAAGAATTTTCTGAGTTTTGTTGTGACAAGACCACACTATATAGACCAGGCTGGCCTCAAAACTCATTCTACGAGCCTCAGCCTTCCAGGTGCTGGGATTACAGGCATGAACACCAAACTCAGATTCTGAAAGAATTTTTAAGTCAAGTGCTAGTGGCAGATTATATACCTGCAATCCTAGCTACTTGACAGGCTAAATCCAAGGATCCCAGTTCTCAGACCCTTACTTAACTATAGGGGCTCCCACCTGTGTGGGAGGATGAGCTTGGGAAGAACACCATGTTTCAATGCCAGATCAAGGAAAAAAAGACTTCATCTCAAAAGAAAGAAGCTGAGCATGAAGATGTGTCCATCAAAACTACCAGGAGAAGCATAAAACAGGTGGATCATTTTCCAGGTGTGGATCCAGTCAAAGAGAAATGCTCTCTCAAAAATAACCAATGACTGGGCTGGAAATGTGGCTTAGTGGTAGAGTGCTTGCCTAGCATGCATTGAAGACCTGGGTTGGATTCCTCAGTACCATATAAACAGAAAAAGTCAGAAGTGGCACTGTGGCTCAAGTGGTAAAGTGCTACCTTGAGCAAAAGAAGCTCAGGAACAGTACCTAGGCTCTGAGTTCAAGCCCAAGTATGGGCAATAATAATAACAACAAACTACTAATTACTCAGGAGGCTGAGATCTGAAGATCATACTTCAAAGCAAGCCTGGGCAGAAAAGCCTGTGATTCTTTTTTTTTTTTTTTTTGTCAGTCATGGGGCTTGAACTCTGGGCCTGAGAACTGTCCCTCAGTTCTTCAGCTCAAGGCGAGCGCTCTACCACTTGAGCTACAGCACCACTTTCAGTTCTCTGGTGGTTTATTGGAGATAGGAGTCTCATAGTCTTTCCTGCCAGGGCTGGCTTTGAACCGTGATTCTCAGATCTCAGCCTCCTGAGTAGCTAGGATTACAGGCATGAGCCACCAGCACCCGGCTCCTATGTGATTCTTATCTCCAAAAACCAGCAAAAAGTCAGTGAAAATATGGCTCAAGTGATAGTGCCAGCCTTGAATAGAGAGACCAAGTTTAAACCTCAGTACCAACCAACACACACACACATACACAGACACACTTTCACTTTCTCTCTCTCTCTCTCTCTCTCTGCCTAGCGCTGGTAGCTAAAACCTGTAATCCTAACCACTCAGGAGGCTGAGATCTGAGGATCATGGTTCAAAGCCAGCCCAGGCAGGAAAGTCCATGAGATTCTTCAATTAACCACCTGAAAATTGGAAGTGGCTCTGTGGCTCAAGTCATACAGCACTTGCCTTGAGCTGAAGAGTTGTGGGACAGCATCCAGACCCAGAGTTCAAGCCCCACAACCGATTAAAAAAAAAAGAAACTGAGTTCAAGCCCCAGAAACAGCACTTAAAAAGGGGCTCAGGTGTAGGATGTTAAAAGTAGCAAGTGCCCAAGGCTCTGAGTTCAAACCCAACCTGACCCCCCCAAAAAAAAAATTTCAAAGTCAAGTATGTTTAAAGGTACTTGCAAAATCCAAGACACTCCCTAAGTATTCAATTAGGGCCTCATCATAATCACATGAGGTAGGTATCTTCATCATGTCTAGTCGATAATTCAAAAAACTGAGGGTCAGACAGTGGGAAGTGACTCACTCTTAGTCCTATAATGTTAGTGACAGAGCCAGTAGTGAGCCCAGCCAGTATAGCACCAGAGTCTGCCATTTATCACTACTCTGTACTACCCTTGCAAAGAAAACCAGACAAGTAAGCAAAGTCGTGAGGACAGAACCTTAAGGCTCATGCCCTAGCAGGAAGAACGAAACTGCAAAGGTAAAAAGCATAAAAAAACAAGCGCCAGAATGGAATAAACCATAACAGCTCAGAGTAACAAGACCAAGCAAAGGTTGTTGAGTTTCTGCTCATCATGATTACTTTAAAGGAGGGAAGGGAAGTTTAAAGTAGTAAACAAAGGACAGCTGGCACTAAGGTCCACTCCAGCAACAGGACTGGTAGCAAAACCAGAGCAAAGCTTGACAACAAAGGAAGCTAACTCTACCAAAGACACAATGGAAGATGTCAGAAATAAATATCACCTGGTTTAATTCTTGTAAAGTTCCTGAAATCACTTTGAAAAACATTAGTGAGAAATGTTCTGTGCTTAGAAAATACCTTCTGGGGGCTGGGAAGGTGGCTCAGTGGTAGAGCACTTGCCTTGCATGTTCAAGGCCCTGAGTTCAATTCCTCAGCACCACATAAGACAAAAGCCGGAAGTGGCGCTGTGACTCAAGTGGTAGAGCGCTACCCTTGAGCTGAAGAGCTGAGGGACAGCTCCCAGGCCCAGAGTTCAGGCCCCACGACTGGACCCAAAAAAAAGAAAAGAAAATACCTTCTGCTGAGCAATCTTTTTGTTGTTGTGGGTAGGGGTGGGGCTTGAACTCTGGGCTTGGGCACTGTCCCTCATCTCTTCAGCTCAAGGCAAGCACTCTACCTCTTGAGCCACAGCACCACTTCCGGTTTTCTGAGTGCTTTATTGGAGATGAGTCTCACACTTTACTGCCGAGACTGGCTTTGAACCCAGATCCTCAGATCTCAGCCTCCTGAATAGCTAGGATTACAGCTGTGAGCCACCAGCGCCCGGCCTACTGAGCAATCTTAAGACCCAGGCTCATTGTGCTCACCACTTTTTTGTTAAGCTGGTTTGGGGCGGTAGGTACCAGAAGTTGAACTCAGGGCTAGCACTCCTTTGGCTCACTTGCCCAGGCTGGTGCTCCTGTCCAGTACATGAAATCTTTTTTTTTCCCCCCCTGTTATCTGAGCCTCTGGAGATGTTAACTGAGGTCCTCAGTTAAAATTCTGATAAGCTCAAAAACACTGTACCCTACCTTGATTTACTAGGAAGCTCCCTGATGCAGAAATTCTTTTTTAGTAGCTCTTAGGTATTTTTTCCAGAATGCACTTATTTACAGTGCTCTTATTTTTGACATATAATATTTACGGGTGCAGTAAATTTGATACACGTATACGATACATATCACATTAAGGTACATAACCAGTCAATGGACTCTGGAGGCATTTTCTGCCCGGGCTGGCCTCAAACCTCGATTCTCTAGACCTCGGCCTTCTAAGTAGCTAAGATTACAAGTGTGAGCCACAGCCTCTCAGCCCAATCAGATCTTATCCTAACCCCAGCAGGGGACAGCTGTCCCTTGCCCACTTTTCCTTCTGTCTACAGCGCTGGCCAGGGGTGGGCTCAAGGAAGGCTGGTCCCAGGAGACAGACTTGCCTCACCCCCCGCCCCACACCCAGCAGGAGCAGATTCCAGGGTCCCCCTCTGCACTGCTGTCCTGCTAGTCTAGCCCAGGGTGTCGTATTTTTTCAACACAAGGAAATCCAGACAGTGTCAGACACTGAAACACCACCTAGCACGGAAAGGCGGGAGGCCCCTTGCCTCCCACCCCCGTGCCTCCGTGCACGCGCGAAGCGGGCGTGGACAGTGCTGACCGGCACGGGCCCCTCGCAACGACCCTTCCAGGCTCGCGGCCAGAGGAGGCCCCCGCCCCGGCCTGGGCTCGCCACGCAGCTGCTTCCCCGCCTCGGCGGCGCCTGCGGAGCCCGCACCGCACCGCACAGGTGCCGCCCCTTTCACGACGGGAAAACACCTCCACCTGCAGAGGCCGAGGGCGGCCGCGAGCGCCGCAGCGGCTGCGCGGCCCGGAGGGCGCGAGCCCAGGGGAGAGGCAGCGCGGCCTGCGGCCGCCCCGCCCCGCGGGACCGGACCGCGGGCGCCAGCAAGGGCCCGCGCGCCGCCACCGGGGCCGACGCCCGGCCGGCGCAACCGAACGGCAGCCGGAGGCGGCGCGGACCCCCGTGCGCGGGGACCAGCGAGCAAAGGGCGGGGGCGACGCCGCGGGTCCCGGGGAGCCAGGCCCGCGCGGACGCGGAGGCCGACGGAGCCCCTCGGCGCTCTCCTTACCTCATGGGGCCGCGGGCTCCGCGCTCCGCAACGCCCGGCAGATGCGAGGCTCCGCACAACGGTCGCCGGGGATCGCCGCGGGCCGGAAGCGGGACGACAGGGCGCGGGCTGGAGGGCGCCACCCTGGAGCCCAAAGTTCCGGGAGCGCGGGGGACCGCGACCTTCCGCGCTTTACGGCCCCCGGCAAGGGTACGGCGGACGCGCGCCCGCCCCCGCGCACGGACGTCACCGCACAGGCCCCGCCCCTCCACGTGGGCTTGTTTGGGTGTCGCGAGGCTCCGCCCAGGGCTTCGGCCCCGCCCACGTGGGTGCGGGCGGGAGGCTGCGCTTTTCCGCCAGGGTTTGAGGAGGAGCGAGGCCGTGGCGGGGGGAGCTTTCGGCCGCGAGGCCCGGCCCGGTGCGGCTGCCGGGGGGTCCGCAGCGCAGACCCGTGGAGGCCGGCGCTCGCGCTGTCCCCGAATGTGCCTCGGGCCTCCGGGCCGCACCCGGAGGCGGAGCTAGCGGACGACCTCCCGGGCCGTGGCGCTCCTCCTCCGCCTCGAGTTGGGCCCGGCCTGGGCTCGGCGCCCGCGGCCCCCGCCCAGGTTTCTGCCTCCGCAGCCTCCTCCGCGAGCGCGGACCGCGTCCCGCCGTGCGAGCCAGGCCCGGACCAGGGCCTGGCACACCAGGGTTTCCTTTGCGTCCAGTTACCCTGCTCCACGTGGCCACCTCGCTTCCCATTCTTGAGGTGAAAGCTCATCTTGCCACGCCGTTTCCCCCAGCCTCCGTGTAATCGCTGACCACCGGAGGCCAGCAGCACACAAGACAGAAAGAAAGCCTTCACAGCCAGGAAGCGGCGGTAAAGCTCTCGGGAGCCCAGGGCCACCCAGCCGCTCAGATTGCACACCCCGCATGATTTACACCTACACCCTCTTCACTGGCCACGGAGCTCCCACAAGATATTCCATGTCAGGCCTCCATTCTGGCCTTTCTGATACATAAAATTGAAGGCAAAGATAGACGCAGGTGGCTCACCGCCAGGAATCCTAGCTACCGAGGCTGAGATCTGAAGATCCTGGTTCAAAGGCAGTGTGGGCAAGAAAGTCAATGAGACTTATCTCCAATACACTACTCAGGAAAAGCCAGAAGTGGCACTGTAGGTCAATGCTAGAGAGCTAGCCTTGAGCACAAAGAGGTTCAGGGACAGATCCCAGACCCTGAGTTCAGGGCCCAGGACTAGCCCCCTCAAAAAAGGCATCATGTTGGGCTGGAAAGGTGAGTCAGTGGTAGAGCGCTTGCCTTGCATGCATGAGGCCCTGGGTTCGATTCCTCAGCACCACATAAGCAGAAATAAAAAAGCCGGAAGTGGCACTGTGGCTCAAGTGGTAGAGCGCTAGCCTTGAGCTGAAGAGCTGAGGGACAGCGCCCAGGCCCAGGCCCCGAGTTCAGGCCCCATGACCCACCCAAAAAAAAAAAAAAATGTTAACTTGTGCATAAGATTCCTGTGACAGTTTTGTAAGTTCTATGGAAAGGCTGGCTATGGTGAACCATGGCTGGAATTCTGCTGTGCCAGGTTTAAGTTTGCCAGGTCTTCTGGTTGAAGAAGACACTTTAGACACCCAGTCCAGCCGCTGGTCCTTTGGCTGGCTTTGCCTCCACTTCCTGACACACATGATGATATCCACATTCCATCAGCATCTCCATTGGAAGCCATGCAGCCCACTTTCATTTCAGTAGAGTTTCCACAGTGTTGATTCCCAACCCAGAGAGAGCACTGGTTCAGGAGCCAGGGGCCCCACCAACTCTAGAAGAAAGAAGTAGCTGGCTTGCAGAGCTCTACTTTGGGATGGCTGAATAAACTTGGACCTGCCTTGAGAGGAATGTGGGCATTTGGCTGTGACCCATGCAGATCAGTCTTTGATTTTTCTAGGAAATGTGAGCCACAGTGTACATCCACTTCAGTGATTCTCGTGGGATTATGTAGGCCTCAACCAGGCCTGGAACTTTACACCAATTTCCTGCACTCCTCCTATACCATGGGCTAGTTGTTCCCAGCAGGACTCAGTCAGCCAAGAGCCTCCATCATGGGCTGTCCTTCCCACTGGCCTCGCCTTCTCTGGCCTGCAGTGAAAAGGATGAGGAAAACTGATGGGTACTGTCATGTTGAGCATCAGGACGGGCCTCAGCCCTGCTGAGACAGACTTCCGAAAAGAGCTCCTTTTCTCCTGAAGATACAGCCTCAACCCACTCCCCTACAAGCCCACAGATGGCCCCTGTCTGGTATATGGTTACCTCCTACCTATGTTTAATTCATAGCTAGGGGGTGGAGGATGGGGAGAGCTTCCCAAGAAAGGAAAGAACTCCCCTGGGGTTTCACCCAGTACCTATCCTACCTCACAGGGTCCACAACTGAAGCCCCCGCTTCCTTCCTGAACCCCTGGGCTAGGGAGTAGAGGCTGCCAATGGGCTTGGACGACACAATCCCAGCTAGGGTACAGCCAACAAGGGTACAGTCATCGGTCACTAATCCGCAGCCCTGGAATGTCTGCTATCCAATCAGCAAGGTCTCTAGGGGCTCCCTGAGGGTGCTAATAATCCCACAATGATTAGCAGGGGCCAGGAGGTCAGTGCACACTGCTCTGTCTGTTGGTGGGATAGGCTGGCTAGGCCACAGAGGCTAGAATACAAGCATCCCAGGGAGCTGCCTCTTTGCAAGACAGCATTGACCACAGGAGACTGTTTAGACACACTCATTGCTCCCTGGCTTCTTGTCTTTTGTCTACCAACACAGTCTGACTCCTTAAGATTGAGAATAGGGTCCTCCAGCCTGGGAAGGAAGTAAGCCGCACGACTAAGCCAGACTGTGCCTGCAGTGCTGGACAGGCCCATGCTGCAGCCCGAGTTCTCCCTTGGGATGGGAGGCCAGGGCCACGGGCCTGGTCTCCTGACTGTACTCCTGGGTCTCCTTGGCATCAACTGGGCACAGGAGCAGCCACTCCAGCTACCAGAGCAGACTGCAATGATTGGAGGTAAGGTACACCTGTGTGAGGAAGAGAGGTGAAAGAAACATTGTGAGCCCTGTAGAGGGGCGGGGGGGGGGGGGGGGTGATGTGCCAGGAAACTTCTGGAACATGGATTCCAAGCTTGATATCTGGGTTGTACTAATGTGATTCCACAAGGGACACATCAGGACAGTCCAGGAAACCAGATGGATGGATGGATGGATGGATGGATGGATGGATGGATGCTAGGGATGAGGAGGAAGGGTGAAGCAGGTTGGTCCAGGGTTGGGGACAAGAAAGATCAGCTAGAGTAGACACAATGGCTCAGAGCCCCAGCCAGATGGCTGTTTCAAGCCCAGGGCTAAGCCCCTCGTTTCCTCATTGTTCCCTATTAGTGTCTTAGTCTTGCATTATGCCTGGCTTTGTCTCTCTTACTTCCATGCCTGTCCCCTGGGCTCCCTCTCACCCACACCCCTCCCCATCTGAGATCTGTGTCCTACGGTTATCCCACTGATCCCTGCTCTATGGCCTGACCTTTCTCTTGGTCCCCAGCCCTCAGCCGGAAAGAGCTTTTTGCTCCTATCCCTACACAACCGTCTAAGGAGCCGGGTCCAGCCCCCTGCAGCTAACATGCAGAGACTGGTAAGTATTTCCCAACACACACACACACACACACAAACACACACACGCACACACGCATGCACATCCTCCAGTCAGGGTTGCTGGAGGTCTCAGGAGGCCAAGCCAGTGTCAGATACTCTTCCGCCTGGATAGGGAAGGAAGAATGGCCAGTCCCCTTCCCCCCATCCTCCCCGATAGGGGAATAATGACCCTGGTTGTTGAGATCTCTGAAAAGTCCTTCTCCCCAGGAGAAGGCCAGCCTAGTCCTTGGGCCTTCTCCTGGCATCCTGTTGCCATGGAGAACAGGAAACATGGAAAAAGCTGGCATTCCCTCTTTGATGCACAAAGGAGTCCCGCAGAAAGGAAAGGGTGGGGTAACAAGGAGAGACAAGCATCACCCTGGCTTGCAGAGGGTTTTGTGTGATCACAATTTATCTGGGTAACTAGGAGAGGCCTCTCCCAAAGTGTTCTTTCAGTTATTTGCAGCTCATCAAAAGAGCCAAGGGGGACTGGGGGTGAGGAGGGGAGTCTACCACCTTAACTGAGGCTATAGAGTTAGAGTTGTCAGCCTGGGGCTCTTATAGCTTGGAACCCCAGCAACCAACCCCAGCCTGTGTGAACAGGCCAAGGAAGGAGGGCAAGTAGGGGCGGGTAGGGTTCCCCATGGCTGCATCCCATAAACTCAGTTCTGAGACTGGCAGCCACAGTGGGTGGTGACCTCCAGAGCTCTGGGGTCAGTTTCCCAGGAGGTGGGGGTGGGGCAGACAGGTGGGGGTTGTTTCTTCCCCTTTCCCTGCCCTGAGCAGCTGTGTTCTGCTCTTCCCCAGGCCCAGGTCCTGGATAGCCTGGTTGTTCCTGGCTATTACACCTGCTAGTGAAAACTCCTGCCAAGGGCTCTCTACCTTGACTATGGTCTGCTGGTGGACAGCCTGTGCCTTTTTCACAGCCATTTGGTCAAAGACCTAGAAAGATCACATAATTTTAAAGGCATATGTGGAGTCCTACCACTCAGCCTCCCTCACATCTTGTGCTGGGCACCCCTGTGCGCCTACAGGGAGCTAGAGTACCTGTTCTCTGTGCATACAGTAGATTGAACCCTCGGGTTTGGTAAGATCTTCCCTCTAGCTCTCAGCAGAGGTAAAATCACAATGAACATCTGCCCTGAGGTAAAGCCTGCTGCATTCCAACTATCTATTTTATTTTATTTTATTTGGTCATGGGGCCTGAACTCTGGGTCTGGGCGCTGTCCCTCAGCTCTTCAGCTCAAGGCTAGCGCTCTACCACTTGAGCCACAGCGCCACTTCCGGCTTTTTCTGCTTATGTACTGCTGTGGAATTGAACCCAAGGCCTCATGCATGCAAGGCAAGCACTCTACCTCTGAGCTATCTTCCCAGCCTTCCCAACTATCTATTGTTTTTACAACTCCTGCCTCTGCCTCCCAAGTACTGAGATTATAGGCAAAGTCACACACCCAGTCGGAGGCCAGTGGCTCATGCCTGTAATCCTAACTACTCAGGAGGCTGAGATCTGGCAGGATCCCAGCCAGGGCAGGAAAGTCCATAAGATCCTTATCTCCAATAAACCACTAGA